GAAGAACATGTGCTTTGTAACTTTCAGTGTACTTTGTATTTAGACATAAGCCAAGCACAAAATTTTTGATCATACTTGTTAATCTCCTTTGGTTTCTGATGGTTCTTCTCTACTATAGGTCCTCTAGGCTCCATCATCTATCCCTGTATCTGATTCCATGAGTCTCTTCCTAGCCCTCCCCCACCATTCTGCCCGTGAGAGGAATCAATATGTTCCTCCATTCCCCTTCTCTCTCGTGTAATGCAATAATCCCATCTGCCCAAACTTGCTCTCACAAAGTGCAACCTCAGCTGTACTGCTCTGGCCTCCTGCACACATCCAAGGGCTTTAGGGTGGTCACCAACTTTAGATAATTTGGCTGGTTCCAATAGAAACAGTTATGAAGGTGGTTGAACCTTTTGGTTCTGCTATCCAAATGACATCCAATTTTCTCAAGAGCCAAGAGTATTCCCACCACCGATTTAAAAAAATCCCTAAGCATTCCTAGGTGATGCAAGACAGCATTCAAAAAAATTTCACACTAAATACAGATAGATGATACCAAGTTGCACGTAAGGCTCCCTAGGCCAGATGTGATTTTTGGACAAAAAGTCCTGAGGGAAAAAAAATCAGAAATTCTAATGGTCCTTTTAAAAATAATTAAATAGCAGATAGAATTAATATTTTCTGACAATCTTTCAGAACTTATTGTATACAAATATTCCATATCAAGCACTTTCCCCTTTCCTTTCCCCTCCCTTCCCCTCCCCTTCCCTCCCTCCCTCCTTCCTTCCTTCCCTCCCTCCCTCCTTCCTTTCTTTCTTTTTTCTTTTCTTTCTTTCTTTCTTTCTTTCTTTTTCTTTCTTTTTTTCTTTCTTTTTTTCTTTCTTTTTCTTTCTTTTTCTTTCTTTCTTTCTTTCTTTTTCTTTCTTTCTTTTTCTTTCTTTCTTTCTTTCTTTCTCATTCTTTTCTTTCTTTCTTTCTCATTCTTTTCTTTCTTTCTTTCTTTCTCATTCTTTTCTTTCTTTCTCATTCTTTTTCTTTCCTGTCTTTCTGTCCTTTTTCCTGCCTTTCTGTCTTTTCTTCCTTCATTTCTTTCCTTCCTTCCTCCCTTCCTACTCCATTAAACTCACAACATGATGAGAATTGACTCTTAAATGAACTCCTAGAATACATCTTATGTCTTGTTTCGGCACAGAAAACACTTGATGGCACTCTGAACTCCAGGAAACAGTCCATTAGGCATGAAACAACTGATTGCTGCTTAGAGCAATAACATTTAATACCAAAATCCTGAGAATGACAAAAACCCAGAAACTACTAAATGGTATTAACTAACACATGGATGTCCAGCTATTTAACATCTGATCTGCTTTATAGCACTCCAGGAGAACTACAAGACCCACATTAAAATAATATTCATCTCTTTTTCAATTATAGTTCCTCTTTTGCGTTTCTTGTGCTCTATATGAATATAGGTCTTTTTTCAGTCCTTCTTATTACTATTTTATTTCACTCCATTCCTATTATATTTTGCCAGAGACCTTGGGCTACAATAGCCTTATATGTTACCAGTTTGATATTCCTGTATAGTAGCTGTCATACTAAAATTATTGCACCTCCTTCACAGCAGTACTGACTATAAGCAATTGATATTGGCATATCTCTTTCCAGTTCAATGACTCCAGGTATAAAACTGCCTTTCTACCAAGTTAAAATTAATCATCATTGTTACAAAATTTTGAGTGGTGTCTACTGCCCAAGAAGAAACTATTACACATTTTACTTAGATTATAAAACTGCCTTTATCACAGTTTTTACTGTCACTGCAGCTACCTTTAGAAATCAAAGAGGAGCCTGTCTTCTCGGGGGAAAAAAAAAAAAAAAAAGGAAGAAATAAAAAAAAGGAACTAAAGGTATATTCCTAAAATGTAATATATACAGAATTATTTCTAATCTCAGATTTACCAATCTATGGTGATTAAACTAAAGAGCCTATGTGATCTTTATAAGAATATCCAGAAGGAAGGAATATTTCCACTATGGTCTTAGCTGTGATAAATGCTAATTCCAGCTTCAATTTTGTGCTTTGTGAAAGCTATCTAGTGAGTATGGGCCACCATTACTATAGAATCTAAATCTTGAGGGTAGTTACTCTCCACACATTGTAAGAGATAGGGAGGTTTGACTGTGTCCAGATGATGAGATGAAGCTCTGGGAGACTTGCCCAAGCTCACAGTGGTACTTAAGGATCAAATGTCTTTTTGTTCCAGGTGAAATGTGGTTTATATATCAAAAGTGAAGGAAGATAGGAATATTTGTAAATTAAGTTGCACAGAGAGCCTCTGACAGAAAAAGGATGTAGGTATTTCAAGCATGTTAGTCCATTTTCACCACTACTGAAGAAGCTGAAGTGGTATATTTTCACAAACCATTGACCAAAGACACTCGGGGCAAATCAGAGAGATTAGGAGTGCCCTTAAAAGCACTAGTAATTTCCATTCTGTAGTATACTCCAGTGTTTCAACTGGATTTGAAACACTGTGCTTCTCCTCAAAATATGCCCTTTTATAAATTAAGGTTTATACATTTCAAAGTTTTGGGTGTTTATTGCTTTAAATGATGCATACCTTCGTGACTCAAACTGGAAAAAAATATATCCAAAGTTGGATTTTTCCTTTTTCAGATATTAAAATCAAATGGCTATGTATTATTTACATAAATTAGGAAAGGCGGTTAGAAAGTGAAGACAGAAAAAAAGAGGGAAATTGATAACAGAAAAAGTTATCAAATCATTATACATTCTTTTCATTCTCTGATACACCAACATCTATTTTTCAGTTCAGAATAAGAGCAGCATAAGTCAGACCAAATCCTACAGGGTGGGGAAAAAAAGGTGATTAGAAACCTTTCCTCAGAAATTGTCCAAGTTACATATGCTCCATATAGTCCTTAAAAACTAGTAAAATGCCTCCTCTCCCAGTTATATTCAGATTTGACTCTGGCTTGTTTCTAATAGAAGACCAGCATATAGCCGAAAATATAAATACCCTTAATTTTTTTCTGACATCAACAATCATCATAAAGCTTTACTAAGTAAAAAATTCTATGTTAAACAACAGATAGCAAAATTAATCTTTTTTGCAAACTTAAACCAGTTGTTTTTCACACTGCTTGATAAGCCATTCACCTCTGAAATACTGCCTTCCTTTGCTTTCCAAAATTCCATTTCCTACAACGCTTCCAACCACATTTTAGAATCAACAGAGCTTCTCATATCTCTTATCACAGAGACTTTTCATTTCAGCAAACATACTCCACCATGCATCTACCCATAAAACCCACTTTTGAATTCATTAAAACAACCTTGAAGACACAAACGGACAGACCAATGTGGTCACAGAGATTTGGGAGCGAATACTTGAACATTTTTGCACCGTTTTCCCCGTGCCACATCTGTTCCCAAAACTCAAAAGGCTGGTCCCACAAAGCTTCCACCCCAAACACCCTGACAGAGCCAAGGGACTTGGCAGGCCCCATAGAGTGGCTGTCCCATCCATGGCCCTGGCTGTCAGGCATGGTGGGAAGGGTGACCAAGTTTATCAGGCACCTGTGGTTTTGTAATACACACTTCTCCTCACTACAGGCTCACTCGTGGCTTGAGAGATCACGAAATATGATCCAAAGTACACTCAAGAGTTTCTATGCTAGATAAAGGCAAAGATCATCAGGTGATAAGCAGCAAAACATGCTGACTTGCAGCTAAAGGTATCTTTGTTAATTAACTTTTTTGTTCAAAAGGATTCCATAGCTGCCTTGAAATAATTATAGTATACACCTATTCTTGATTTTTACTATCATATTAGAAAACTATGAATTCTATTTCTACTGAAAATAAAACCTTTTGCAAGCTATTATTTTATAAATTCTTTCAGTAGTAAAACATATGCTGTAAACCTAAGGAAAAAACTTCTGCACACTGAACTAAACTGATTCGAGTAAAGTAACATGAGGAATTTTTTTTTTTTTGCATTTGCAGAACAAGCTACAGAAGTCCAAAATGAAATGAGGTTTATAATTGTAATAAATTGTTTCTGGAGACAGGCAGTAATTAACTCTGAGCAGTGGCTTGACCTTTGTAAGATTTCAGCAAACATATGGCGCTTGCATATTTTATAGGATGTTTTTTATCAGGCTCTCTTGAGTAAATAAGATCACGTAAGCTGTCACAATTCTGATTTTTGTTTCACATGCATTTATTTCTAAAAATATTGACTTAAGTTAAAACCCCTAATTCAAATACAAAAATATTTTAAACAGCTGGAAAGTAGCTTTGCAAAAAAAGACCTGGTGGTCCTGATGGACCAGCTATCTTCACAGTAAGTCCAAAAGCATTGTGGGCTGCATTAGGAAGAGCATGGGAGATGATCCCCAGTACATGAGAAACACGGACACACTGGAGTAAGCCCAGTGAAGGGTCCCACAAAGACGACGAAGGAACTGGAGCATCTGATATACCAGGAGAAGATGAGAGAGCTGGGACTGTTCACCCTGGGGAAGACAAGGCTACAGGAGGTCTCATCAGTGTGTGTAAATACCTGATGGAGGAATGAAGAGGGAGCCAGACTCTTTTCAGTAGTGTCCAGTGAAAGGATAAGAGGCAATAGGAACAAATTTAAGTCCAGGAAATTTCATTTAAATGAAAGAAACTTCTTACAGTGAGAGTGAACAAGCACTGGCACAGACTGTCCAGAGGGGCTGGGAGATACTCAAAACACAGCAGGACAGGTCCCTGAGCAACCTGCTTTAGCTGGCCCTGCTTTGAGCAGGGGGCTGGACTAGAGGTGCACCTTTCCAGAGGTGCTTTCCAGCCTCAGCCCCTCTGTGATACTGACTGGAGCATTTGGCTCTCACAAGTGTGCTGCACCACTGCAGAATTAGGCTTCCAAATAAACACTCTACAAGCATTTCCAAGTTTTGCTTATCAGACTAGAAGTAAATTCAGACTCAGGAGTCTAAATATGAAGCTTTTTTAATCCAGATTCTGGACCCTTACATCTCTTGATTATTAAAGATGAAAGGAACATTTTAAAGGAAAGAATTCTGTTTTAAACATTGGTCCATTTGCCCACTTAATAGATTACCAACACAGAGAGATATATTTTCCTTTTATGTTTGCAGCTACCATAATAAAGCAGTAATTAGCAGTAAGTAGTCTCTGATCAGCCAAGTAGGGTATGCGATAAAAAGAGGTGATATCAAACAAGTACATAAAAGTGAAACCTATATAAACAAAATTCAAATAGACAGGGGTTAAATTTGGGCTGTATTCATTTTTAAAATATCTGAATTCCCTACAAGGCATACTACTAATGCATCTAGGCCTGTTAAAATTACCCATAATCAAAACACCTAAAATAACTATTGTCACAAAGCTTTCATGGTTTAAAGGCTACCTGCAGCAGATGATTAAACTGCAGTAGGCTGAAGGGAGGAGAAAGATCTTTTAATCATTTTAGTTTCTATTTTTCTGTGTGACAGTATCATCTCTCTTTTCATGGTCGGTACACCACAGTCTGCATCCAACACTCCTGGGGCCACGATCTCTGCTGTCAGACGGAAAGGGAGGCATCTCTGTCACAGTATTAATTACAGGTCTGCAGCCACGTAACAAATCTGGGTGAGTTTAGTTAGACTGTACTTCAGGTCCACAATAATGTAGCACTATCAAGTCTTTGCATCTTCCACCCTGCATCACAACTAACTGAAAAAATATTGTCTCCAGAAGAAGCTTGCTGGATGACTTCCTCCGAATTCATGATCCTGCTGCTAGCTCTCTCCTGGAGTCTGAATTCTTTGAATCAATTTCTTTTTGCATATAATTTGCAGAGAGCATCATTGAATTTTATATTCTGCCTTTTATATTGGATGCAATCCACATCCTCATTCATTGTACTGCCACTGTTAATTATCATACGCTAAGAGGTTTGTTAGTATTTTCCCTGACAGCATACTCCCATACTGTCTCTCGCTTGCATGCTTTCACATTTTCCCTTTGGTAATATATTATTTTACTTTCTGGTTTACTGTTCATTAATCTGCTTTGGACTGCATTGTTCTCTATGAGCTTAGCTTCTGAAATAGTCTTAATCATTCTCTGCCTGCATTTTTCACATCAGCCTCTTTAACTTTCTATTCAGTAAAGAGAGCAAATGCAAAAATTATGCAGTTCAATTTCAGCATTCAGACCATTTGTATAAATAATGAGGTTTTAGGGTACAGCTAAGCCTCATGATAGCCCATTAGTAAGCTTTTTCCAGAATTAAATTTACTTACAGCGGAGCTACTTTTTATGTCGTTTATTTTAAATCCACTGAGTTACTTTGCTTCCACTTACACGGGTCAAAGGTTAAGACTGACAATTTCAAAAAGAATACTGGTAAAAAGTCTTTTAATGAACCAACCCACCAACAGGGATATCCAGCTTCACTCACATCTGCACTATCAGTCAAGCCACTACTTGGCTGAGATGCTGGCTGATGCCAGAAGGAATAGCTGAAGTCCTTTACTTGCTCTTTGCAGGAAAAAACCCTAAACCACCATTACCATGTTAGCTTTAGGTATAGTTTAATTTTCCTATTCTCTTTTTTCCCCTTTCTCCTCCTTGACACAAGACCCAGATTTGTTTCTGCATATGTTTTTTCTTTTTTTTCATAGAAGATGCCTTGTTTTTCCAAGTTTCCACTTGTGTGGAAGAATGCACATAAATCTATGACATTTGAGACAACTTACAAGGAAGAAAAAGGCAGAATTACGTATGGAGGGGTAACAAAGGGGAGCTCAGTCATAAACCTTGTATCATCACGCAGTTAAGTCACCAACTGTGGAGCTCTAGCTTGTCAGCCAGCATCTCTTTTGCATAAATGTTTCTGAACAACTTCTGTGTCACACACATCCAAAAATCTATACTAATAAAATTTAACCACAATGTCTCCTGTTCTAGTCAAGAACAAAAACTTCTTCACCACACAAAGAATAGACCCTTTATTTATTTTTATTAAAATGAGTAAAAGAAGTTGCGTCTTTCAAAAAGAATTACTGATGTAAATGTTAGAGTGAATAAAGTTCTTATGTCTCAAATGAGCAACTCTCAAAGCCGAGACGAGATTACAGTTCACACCAGGAGCAGAAGTACAGAAAACCATCATTGGTGCCATTTTTTCTTAACATGCACAGCATAAGTTAAACACTTGCAAAGCACAAAGTTGCATTAGTACCACCAAAGCCAAATGAATTTGTGAGTGCTATACGCCGTTTTTCAGATTTCCACTCCTGAGCAGTTAATGGAACATAATTGAGATCAAACTCCGCCTCTGTTTTCTCTAAGTTTAGAGTAGGTGGCAAAATTCCATGGTAACAGGACAGTGCAGTAAAAGCTGCCTCAATAGCTCCTGCAGCTCCCAAGAGATGTCCTGTTGCTCCTTTTGTTGAGGACACTGCAATATTACGTGAGTGATCTTTAAAAAGTCTCTTGATTGCTTGATTCTCAGCAGCATCCCCTAGAGGTGTAGAAGTTGCATGTGCATTGACATATGTTACGTCTTCAGGTTTGATCCCAGAATCTTTTATTGCTGCAGACATACACCTAAGGGAAAAAAAGAAAACAGAATGCTGGTTTTCCCAATATATTTTTTGTCAAATGTACAATCCAAAAAGAAAAACAATAGGGTGTTTTAAAATGTTTATCAAATGTGAAAATCTGCTTTAGCAGAGATGTAAATGACAAGAGATGAATTCATCTAACTAAATACATTAGCATCTACATTTAGCTACCAGGGAAAAGCAGTAGATGTGAGGCCCAATATAAAATCAGACTTGCTGTTAAAAATTCTACAGCTGGGAAAAATACAAAGAGAAGGAAAGAAAGCTAAAACAATCAATCTCTGTAGACTACATTATTCTGTCAAAGACTCTTTTCAATGTAAAATTTGAAAACATTTGAGAGAGAAATAACTACCTGATATTATTACAAAAATTTAGGTATGCTCTACCCAACAAAAATATTGGGAAATTTAAGCAAAAATCTGCAGTCCTCCTCCTCATGAGCTTCTTTTGCCTGCTTTCCAGAGACTAGAAAATGTCTAGGAGATAGTACAAATTCCTATATTTCATTTTATAAGGAAATTTACTGAAAGTCACACTCTTCTGCCCTGATATGGTATGCTTTGCTTGACTCCTGATGACTCGTGGACTGTGACTGCCTCTATAAAACATGCTTTATTATGAAAACCACGTAAGGATCAACACAGCTCCATAGTGTGATTTTCTCACAGATTTCCCACAGAAAGAAGGGAATTAGTCAGACATCTCCTTGCACATACAACTTAACCAAGTGCCTCTGAGCAAAAGACCACTGACTCTTTTGAAATTTATGAAAAATAAGTGAATAAAAGGAAGCTCAAAAAAAAGATAACACAGGCTTCTGGACAAATTTAAATGTCTCTAGTACAGCCTTCTATCCTTAGAAGCATCCAATTTAGCTTGCACTGGAGGCCACTGACACTGTCACTAGACAGTGAGTCAACTTTCAGGCAAAAAAGATTACTGATCAACCATGAGATATGTTAATTTAGTTAAATAGGTCATCTGCAATGAACATATTTACTTAAGAAGATACCAGATTACTTGTGCAGGACAATCTTTGTATCCACTCTCCTTAGTCTGGCTTTGCCTCTCCTTTCCTGCTGGTTTATTCCAACATTATTACTCTCCTACTGAAGTAGTTATTAGAAGATGACAAAAATATATTCCTCTGATATTTTTTTGATGCGGCAAATAAAATTCCTATAGAAAAGTAAGAGAAGCATATATATTCCAGATTTAATCCACATACCACTGCAGGAACAAAATATTGGCTTGAAGACAGTACTTCCATCTCAAGGATGGAAAAGCACAACATTTTGGAGATACCAAGATTAACTCTCAACTACTTTCTACTGTGAATTTAATTTATATGCTACTGCAATCATAAAATATACAAAAATTCAGTTACAATATATTGCCTATATCATCTCAAGGCTAAGCAAGTCTGAAAATATGAGATAAGACACTCCTGATTACTCATCTCACACCTAAGTCTGCAGAACAATTAAATATGAATCAAGAAGGGAAACATGGTATATTTACACTTCCAGAAAAATCTGTTAACCCAATAAAGATGCAAACACAGCTTTACAATGCCATGCAGAAGTCTGATCTATTTGTGCAGTGATGTATTGAATTTTGGTATTAAATATTCACATAAATTTGGAATAAGGCAAACTAAATCTTTGCTAAAGATTCCAGTGTCAACTCAGCAATAGTACTCAGCCTACACAAAAGTCACCAACTTGCACACATAATTTAGATAACAATTTAATTGGGTCAATGACAATGATTAGATAAGTATTGTCTACTTGTGAACTAGTTTTGATGAAATAAACATTGATGAAACTTTACCATTTCCCTAAGCAATACTATAGTATATTTCTCTTATGCCCCTCCACCAACACTCTTCATCTGAATTACTGAATATTCTACAAACTAGATCCTCCAAGTGCTCTACAGTTTTCATCACCTGAGATTTCCTGCAATAAATAACATGCTTTTGCAGGGGAGGGCCTCTCTTCTCCCTGGACAAAGGGTGAAGGAGAACCTGAAAAGGTTCTATTGCACCACAAAAATCTTAAAAAAGAGGTTTCCATTGAGACTTACTTATGTGAGCAACTGTCTGCAACAAAAGCAAAAGGTTTCCACATGAGCAAGATTTTGTAACTCTATGAAAAAAGACTGATTCTAGCAAGAACTGGCCTTCACCTTGCTCCTAAAAAAAGTGTTGGGGCAGAAGAGCAACAGAAGCTCTTTCATTTTTCTGATTTTCAAGCTTTTGTAATATTAATTCAAGATTGAACAGCCTTTCTCTATGAAAAGCACCCAGTAACAGAAACAAATGTACCCACTACACTAAACACAAGAAGAAGCTATTACAGTCAAGATAGAGTTCTTACCTGAATGCACCATCTCCCTCTGGATTAGGTGCTGTTATGTGGCAAGCATCACCAGACAGTCCATAACCTAAAACTTCGGCATAGATCCTAGCACTTCTTTGTACGGCGTGTCCATACTCTTCCAAGACCAGCACAGCAGCACCCTCTCCCATTACAAACCCTTCTCTCTTCGAATCAAACGGTCGACAGGCCGTTTTAGGGCTCGAGTTAAAACTCGTGCTGAGGGCCCGAGCTCTTGCGAATCCAGCCAAAGACAAAGGACTAATGCAAGCCTCAGTCCCTCCAGCCAACATGACATCAGCATCACCAGCAGCAATAAACCTAAAGGAGTCTCCAACCGCATGCGCGCCTGTGGTACAAGCGGTTGACACAGCGTGATTCGGTCCTTTCAATTGGTACTTAATGCTGATATGGCCTGCTGCCATATTGACTAAAATCTTTGGGACAAAAAACGGGCTGACCTTATTGTAACCCTTTGTTTTAAATAAGGCAGCTGTCTCAGAAATTTCTTCCAGTGGAACCATTCCCATCCCAATTGCCACACCGGCACTTAAGCGATCCTGTTCGGACTGGGGAGACCAGCCGGAGTCCTTCATTGCTAGTTCTGCTGCACCGATGGCCATCACAGTGGCAGAACTCATGGATTTGATCTCTGACTTTGACACAAAGCTTTCTTCACTGAACTGACCCTCCTTGTTTCCCCTTGGCACACAGGCAGCCACTCTACATGGGATGCCTGCATATTCTTCCCCATCTAGCGACGTAATCCCGCTGCCTCCTTCAAGAAGGTGCTTCCACACAAACTGAGTCCCCACACCAAGAGGGGACACTAAGCCAATACCTGTAACCACTACTTTCCTTCGACATGCAGGCAGTGACTTGCTGAAAGCTCTTCTGTGGTTTTGCAAATGTAAATTTAAATTCAGTCTCTGGAGATGAGTATTTGCAATCTTTAACAGATCCTGTGAGCGTTGTGAGAACATGGTGGCAATTATCAGTTCAAGCACATTCCTGTAACTGGAAGTAGAAGACACAAACACAATAATAAAACAGCCAGTGTGGAAAACATTCCAAGTACATTAAATTAATAACCTGCTTTTTACAAGAAAGCCTATTTTCAAACCTGTAGAAAGTGATGTAGTTTCTGCATCTGTAATCAGGAATAGTACAAAGCTGTAGACAAGGCACAGGAACACAGTCACTTTGGGAATGCCTCTAGTGGCCTCATCTACCTTAAGCTGCTAATAAATATGAGTTTGCACTACTGTGGCCTGCAAAGCACTCTGGTTTCGCCACAAAACTCTCCCCAGGGCCTTAATCACCAGCTGGCTGGATGTATGAACAATGAACATTAACAACTTCATTCCTCTAAGGGACAAAGTGTGTGTTCACCTCAAAGTGTATGTCCTAGCATTCTCAAGTTAAGGGTGTTGTCATCTCAACCTTCATGCCAGGTAGAACATCTAGAAAACTCAGAACAGGAGTCAGTAAATTCTTCCTGGGTCTGCCACCAATGTAATAACATAGCTTGGACAAGAGTCCTCATCGTTCTACCTCCATCTATCCCTTATCAGCCTTGGGTATTTACACTGCCAGGGGACAGCACCTCAAGTGGTTTGAGCAAGATGTGCTACACCACCACCTCCCTTGAAGGTAACATCAGCAGACCTCACATACCAAGAGGGATGTCAAGTGATGGCAGAAAGGCACTGCTGAACACAAATACTGCAGGCGGATCAAGAGGCCCACGCCTAGCAGTGGTGCTGCCATACTGCACCACAGTCTCTCTCCCTTGCCTTGGCCACTGCCAGGTGCGGAGCTGCTCTTATTGCATACATCTGGCATGCTGGAGCCGGGCAGTGGCCGCAGCACAGCCCTGTCAACACCTGCGATACAGGTTGCAACTGGTCACCTGATTTTTGAATCATAAAAAGGGCAACTTGGCAACTCCAGCTCTTAGGTAAAATATAGGGAGCTGGATGGGGACCATACCGGGCTGTTGGGCTAATGCACTCCTGCTAAAACACCCAGAGCTGTGGCAGCACAAGTACACAGCAGCGTTAATAAAGAATATCATAGAATCATAGAATGGCCTGGGTTGGAAGGGACTTAAAGATCATCTAGTTCCAACCCTCCTGCAGGGACACCTCTCACTAGAACATGTTGCTCAAAGCCTCATCCAGCCTTGCCTTGTGCACTTTCAGGGATGGGGAATAAAATTAATAAATAATTTTATGCATATTTTATGAAATTATTTCTTTTAAAATTAATTATATTTATAATGAAACAAAATTCTTTTTTTAAGGAAGCCTGGTTTAAATCCTGGCCCAAATCTGCCATTTTAGTTAAGCCAGTTAGCTTGGCCTTTATAAAGATAGGCAGTATATATAAATATATGTATATAATATATACATACTATATATATTACTATATATAGTATATAATACATTATATGCATAACATACACAACATATACTACACATAAATATGTACTCTCTCTATATAAAAGAGCTCTGCAGTATTTTATGTGCATATATTATATAATGTATAACATGTGTATCAGTAATGTATATACATATATATATGTGTATATATAAACATATAAATGTGTAATAATGCATATGTGTGTGTGTATGTATAATGTGTGTGCGTGTGTATACAGCTGCAGAGCTCTGTAGAGCAGCGCGTCCCCCATCCCCACGCCGTCACCCGTGCCAGGTGCCGAGCCGTCCTGTTTTACCCCAGTAATGCCCGATACCTGCTCTGCGGGAAAACTTCCCCCCGGAAACAAGCATTACCGGACGGCCCCGGCTGTTTGAAGGGCAGTGACTACTTTTAATGCCTACACCAGGAGTCAAACCCCGTCCCCACTGGACTGCCCTGCGCCGCCATTGCCGTCCCGCCCCCGCGACCCCCGCCTCCCCCCGCCTCGGAGCCCACAGCGGTACCTCCGCCGCCCGCGCTCCCCCCGCTCTGCGATGGTTCGCTCTGCCTCCCTCTCCGTTCCGGCGGCACGGGGCCGCACCACTCGGCAGGCGGGGGAGGGAAGAGGGGGAGTTGTGTGGGTACGCGTGGCCCAGCGGCGCTTCCTCTCGCCTGGCCCCGCCTCGCGGTGTAGGCGGGTGGGTAGCGAGGCGGCGTAAATGAGCCAGAGAGCTGGAAAAGGCGAGGGTGGCATTTCCTTTTCCAAACTACGTGATTAAACACGCAAAGGAGGAGTAAGACACCCCCCACACACACCTCCTTCAAACAAACGCACGGTCTCCGGTGGAGTGATACGGAAGACCTTATCGCTCTCTACAGCTGTTTGAGTGGAGGTTGTAGACAGGTGGGGGGCGGTCTCTTCTCCCACATAACAAGTGACAATGGCCTCAAGTTGTGCCAGAGGAGGGTTAGATTGGCTATTAGGAACGTTTTCTTCACTGGAGGGGTTGTCAAGCATTTGACCAGGCTGCCGAGGGAAGTGGTGGAGTCACTGTCCCTGAGGGTGTTTAAAAGATGTGTAGACGTGACATCTGGGGACGTGGTTTGGTGGTGGACTTTACAGTGCTGGACTCTCTGATACTAAAGATCTTTTCCAGTCTAATTGATTTCTTGAAAGTGCTCCTCCTCACAGATGCTGAAATGCTGGAAGAGAAGACAAAGACTAAATGATCACTTTGGCTTTACAGGAGTGTCTTGAAATACATGAACAAGTATGCCAACAGCACCAATGCACACGAGTAAACTATTTGTGGTTGCTGCTTCCAGCCGCAATAATGGATGATCTGAGCTGAGACCAAGCTATGCCTGAAATGACGTATATGAACAACTAAATTTTTACTTAGGACAGTGGTATCTCACTTAAAATACACAAAGACTTGGAAGCTACCATGGCAGACCATAAAATGTCTGTCAAAGTCTCATCAACAGAGACATGAATTAATTACATGAATGGGGAGTTTTCTTATTAGATGATACCTTTTATAGTGTAGAGCAGTAAGAAAACTGAAATCTGTTTACTCACGCACAGTACAATGATGCTTATTATCTGCAATCACAGCTATGTCTAAATACAAACTATAGCACGGTAATGATGCACCTACTGCAGTAAAAAAGGGAAAAAAACCCAACCATACATGCCAGAAAGGAGAGAAATGGAAGATTTAATATAGAAAAACACCTCGCTATTTTTAAATTAAGCATCTGTATTTAATTTCCCTTTAGAAATAACATTCCCTGGACATTCAGTGTGTTAGTAATTTGCTGGAAGTTGGCACTTGGTCTTCTCAATTTTCATACAGCTTTCCTATGAGTACTTCCAAAGCATTATTTACAAATGCTATACTTATATGCTTTATATAATTATGTTACACATATAACAGTTTAATTAATTGTTAAATTTCAGAGCGCAAACAACATTCAGAGCCATATAACTATGTGAAAGACATGGAAAGGAAGTGAAAAGCTGAAGCAGCAGCCAAGGAACATCATCTTAAATTAAAATTTTATTACTTTGGTACCAGTTCCATGATTCTGAGGGCTGCGTTAGTAACTTTTTTCAACTATGCTAATAGGAATAATAAGTGTAATCTCATCAAAACTGAATTGCCCAGTGTTAAATCCCAGCTTTTGTGAGGGATATGTACCACTTTCTTTAAAAAACCACAGAAGTTGAGCAGTGACCTGTAAGAAGCAGACAGCAGAGCTAGAATGTAATGTCAACTGCAAAATCAGGCTAAATTTTAAAGACCTCTTTTGCTTGGAACTCTTTAAATCTGCATTCCTAAGAAAGCAAAGCCGCACCAGTCTTTGTCCAAGGTTCTTCACTGCAGTTCTTTCACTGATAGCACAAATGTCTAGAAGCAGCAGACCAGGACTTTTTTGCTTTGCTGGAACAGGCTTTGGGTAGTGCTGGGCAAGGTGTCGGAGCGAGGGCGAGTTGCTTCAGTGGCATACCCAGCCAGGTAGCCCAGGTGAGGCTGAAGGTTTGGCACCATCAGAGAACGCTGCCAAGCCAGGGCAATACAAAAGGGGATTTATATCCTTGAGGACATTACTGCCTGCCAGGGGGCTCTCGATGTTGCAAAATGTGGAATATGTAAAAATTTTCTTAGGACAGGATGTTCTTTGAGGTTTCATATTTGTCTACTTTCAAGCGAAATCAACAAGAAAGGAGGTTTAATCAAGCTCTCAGTGATGTTTCAGGTGTTAAAAAGACAAATTGCTTGTTGAAAGAATTGCTTTGTTAAGGTTTAGGGCTCGACATGTTTCAGTGATCTCAAACCTAGGGGAAGGTTAAGAAAGCATGGGAAGGACGTACCAGTGATAGTGGGCACAAAGAAAGCAGAATTTACTGACCACAAGGACATTTGGCAGAACCTCCTAGATAAGGAAGAAACTCAATTAACCAATAGAAGCCTAATTAATAAGAGAACTAGGTAACTTGTCGCTAATGAACATTAATGGCTTTGGTCGCTAACATGTATAAATAGGGAAAAGTTTTAGTAGCCGTCGTGCTGGCCTTGTGGATTTGCCGCGCGGCACCCATTTCTGAGCAGAACTGCAAATAAATCAAATACCACCACTCTGTGTGTGGATTGGCCTCTTGCACACCAGGGGAAAGAAGAACCTGTTTTGGGACAGCATGGTGTGACCGGGCGGTCCCTGCCGCTACCCGGGGCGGGGGGGTTGGGCATGGATTGGCGCTTCGTCCCTGTGCCCTCTGGCCCTTTAAGGCCCCCCCTTATGCGTGTGACGCCGTGGCGGGGGCGGGCGGCGCTGCCGGGAAGCGGTGTTGGGGGGAGCGATGGCGGCCGCGCTGGGTCCGCCGTCAGTGCCGGGCTCGGCCGCCGTGACCGAGCTGTGCCAGAATGGCCGCGAGATCTTCCTGGAGGCGTCGCGCTTGCTCCTCACCTACGCCGACAACATCCTCCGGTGAGCCGGCTCGCCGCCTCCGTCCCGCGGCCGGTGCCGCAGGGTCCCCGCGGCCGCGCCCCGGCGCCGGGCGGGGGCTTCGGGTCCGTTGTGTAATGCCGAAGTTCAGAAACTTCTCGCATCTTTTTGTCGTTGTTTTAAAAATAAGGTTACTTAGCTAGAGGTGTGGTGTCCCGGATTTTTATTTCCTTTTTTTTTTTTTTTTTTTTTTTTCTCTGCTTGGTTTGTTTTGAAAGCTTGGGGGGCGTTTTTTCGTGTTAAACGCAAAATCATGCGTTGTCCCTTATTTTGCAAGCATTTATTCACCTAAAAGCAGGTAATAACAAGTAATGCTGATTTTAACTTGATTTTAACTTGATTTTAACTTGATTTTAACTTGATTTTAACTTGATTTTAACTTGATTTTAACTTGATTTTAACTTGATTTTAACTTGATTTTAACTTGATTTTAACTTGATTTTAACTTGATTTTAACTTCATTTTAACTTCATTTTAACTTCATTTTAACTTCATTTTAACTTCATTTTAACTTCATTTTAACTTCATTTTAACTTCACTTCATCTTTTTTTTTTTTTTCTGGATTTTTCTTTTACCCTTCCCTTCTGACTTAGCAAGGTTGGTACCAAGGGTTAATTATAGTTGAACTTCTGGAGGTGGCCCTGTAGGGTGCACGTACACACCGATAGGTGTGATTGACCTTGATGTCTTCTTCCAGAATCTCGGGGTGTGCGAGCTGCCTCTCCCTGTCCCTATATACTTGTAAAAGCTTCTGTGTGCCAGAGAATGGTGCATCCTGGGTTGACTCCTTTTGAAGGAAGAAGCGAGAGAAGGAGGTTTTTGAAAGTTGAAAAAGGAAATAGGAAGTGAGAGGCAGCCCTTGGAGAAGTAGATACCGCAGTTGTTTCGCACATGTTCGCCAGGCGGCTTAGCACAGCTTCCAAGATGGGACTAAAGCCATCCAGCATCAAGCTGAGAAGTTCAATTAGAATGCTACCAGGTAGAGGGTGATGTGAAATTGTCTCTGAGTGTCACTGCAGACTAAGCCCTGCTGGGTAGCACTATAGAGCATGTGCTTAAGAATTGAAGTCGCAAACTGAAATTTAGCACCAGTTTGTAACTCTTTAAGTGCAAAAGGACAAGAACTAAGTAGAAGTTTTACGTAGGTTTCACATTCTGCTTGTGGGGTACAAGCGAAACTAAACTTTTTAAAAGTCCCTTATGAGTGACTAATGCTGCTTATTGCAGTTACCCTACTTTTAAGTGTTTATTTAATTTGCAAACATAATTATGACTTTCGATTTCTTCAGGAATCCATATGAAGAAAAATATAGATTAATTCGGATTGGAAATCCAGCATTTTCCACAAGGCTGTTGCCTGTCAGAGGAGCAGTTGAATGTTTATTTGAAATGGGGTTTCAGGAGGTGAGTAAAATTTACTAATTTCTGGTGTCTTCATCAGTTTACACAATAAAATTGATGGATTTTTTTTGCTTCCCCAGTTGCAAGGCAGTAGATTTTAAACCAGTTGCTATATTTTTCAATCCTTGTTTGCAGGTATCCACAGTTAACCAACAGCAGATTTAGATGGGTCTGCTTCAGAAATCTGGTGGAGCTAGAGATAAGCTAATCTGTGACAAGATTGGTTTTTTTGCTGGTCAGGTGAATGGCTGGATACATTCCACCCAGGAAATGGTGGGAAGCAGGGTGAAAACCCCCTCTCTTAATAGCAACCTGCTATTAGTTGGACATCAGACATTGTAAATGCATGTAGAAACTGTCATTTGGAAGAGAGAAAAAGAAAGCCCCCTCTTTTGCTCCTTTTTCCTGCTGTCAGTAGGGCTTCTGTGGCCCCATAATGGGTTAGATAAGGGAAGCTGATTTGATAAAAAATCAGTTCCCTAAAACAAAACCAGAGGTATTTTTCATCCAGTTCATAGTGCAGCTGCACAAGTGCTGGTGTTGTCATGACAGCAGTAAAGGATAGTAGACTCTTTAAGTAGTAGTAGGAGGGGTGAATCTTAAAATGTTCATTTTAAAAGGTTAGAAAACTGTATCCTGAAGTAGTTTGGAGTGAATCTTGATTCTGTTGCAGTCACACAGATGTATTTCGAAGATTGCTTTGTGTCCTGATGTGGTTCCTGTCTTTAAGTGGAACTTAAACTGCCAAGATTAACTGTTAAATTAGAAGCAGCCTTTGTAATTATTGGAGACCTGGGGTGAAAACCCAACTCTTGTTTAATGGTGCAAAGCTCTTGCTTTTGTCTATTTGATGCCACACTTCTCTAGGGTTACATATATTATGTTACTTAGGCCAAGCTGTCATGAGACCTCTGCCTTCTCTTTGGGTTCATTAGCGTAATTGTTCTAATTAAAAAAAAAAAAAAGGTGTGCTGAAAGAAATAGTGACTGCACAGGGAGAAACAGTCTGTGAATTTATTTTCATGCTGGTGCTCAGGAGACTTCTAATGATGTATTTTAGCCAGGAGATGGTTGATGTAGCTAGTGAAGCACTCAAGCAGATCTCTGAATGTGTTGGCTCAGTCTTATGGTTATTGTGTCAGTCAAGGCTGGAGTTCACCAGTTTCTCTTCAGCTGGTTGACTAAAATTGTTCCTTTTCTTGTCTCTGCTTGGTAAGTAGACTTTTTCAATTAAAAAAGGAGGAATGTATTTCCTCACTCTTCTGGGAGCTTGACACATTCCATTTAGCTTTGCGACGATTTTAAGTGTTAATGTGAAGCACAGCATCTGCAATAATAGGTGACCTAAGGTCCTGTGGAAAAACAAATTACCTTAATAAATAGAAGTGTTTCAGTGGTAGAAACTGAAACTGTTAAAGTATAAATGCTTCAGGATAGTCATGCTTTTAGTAACCTGTTTCTTTATGCTGAGTATGCTGATACTTGCTTCTTTAACAGTTACTGATCTTTTGTTATGCTGCATGTTACAATCAAAAATAGGAGCCCAGAAATCAACCTGGGTACAGGTCTCAATAAAAATAATATTTCTTATCTGAAAACTCAAACCTAATAAATATTAGTATGGAAGAGAATTCCCAGCAGATGCCATTTTAAGGTCTTCTTCCCCCAGCATTGGCTGTCCTATTGTGTTGCCAAGCATTTCATTGCTATCCTGTGACAACTGAGCATTTCTTGTTCATTTCTGTTGTTGCTGCTTTCTCTGCAAAACCTTAATTTCATAGTCCATGTGTGGCTCTGCAGAATAAGTTACTAACAAAAGCATGTTGTTATAGGTCATTTTTCTCTAGATAGACTATAAGTTCTTAATCTAATGGCTTCTGAAGCTGTGAGGGACCTCAAGCTTCTGCTGTGAAGGGACCTAATCTTAAAGCTGAATCCTGCTAAGTCTTAGCATGCCAACTAACAAACTATTGACTAGACCTGCATTAACTGCTGCTGAATTAATTTGTCTAAATTTCAGGGAGAAACTCACCTGGTTTTCCCTAAGGAAGCTTCGATTGAGCAACTACGTAAAATCAGAGACTTAATTGCTGGAGAGAGAAGCAGCAGGCTGAATGAGTCAAACCAAATCCCCAAATCAGGATCCACTGAAACTGTCAGCAGCACTCAGACAGCTGCACAACAGCCTTCAAGATCTACTGATTTTGCTCTTGCCCCTGCCCGTCAGCGACCAGAAACATCACTTGTGCAATCTCTTGAAATGGTAATTATAACCTGAAAACTTTATAGGTTCATTAGTCTTGAATATAAAGATTTTAGAGAAGTTGACTGTTGGGATAGGTTGCTCAGAGAAGCGGAGTAGTCTCCAAATGAGCGCATTTTTAAGCTGTCTGAGTAAAACTTAGAGGAACTTGACCTGACCTCATAGCTAATCCTCTTTTGAGTAGGACGTTGGACTAGAGGGTTTTTTTTCCAATGGTTTCTGAAGTTTTTTGAGTGTTTTCTTCAGTCTCCATGCAACTTAAACATGAAATGTACCATAAATAGAATACTGGCAAGAGATTTTGTTGAAGATCTCCATAAATGTTTTGTTGATCAGGGTGTTATGAAAAAAAGCTGATTTGTATTGGGAGGGAACAGCAAGGTGGGGAACAAGGGGAGGGGTGGGAAGCTAAGGCTAGGCTTATATTTGGTATTTGAGAGCCAGAGAAAGAACAGGAAAGTGACTGTAATGTTTATAGTTGTTGGCATCTTGGTTCATGCATTATGACTTCTATGAGGCCTGTGAGGAGGCCTTTCTTCTTTCACATGTGCTTGTCATTGAAGATGGGAATTTAGCCAGGCAAGGACAAATCCATAGTTATCTGGGCTGAGTTTCCCTTGTCCAGGAGGTTGAGATGAAGTTCCTGATCAAGACAGAGGCAGTATCCTTTCATCTGATGTTAACTGGCTTAATGGAAAAAGACGCAACATCTCATACAGCTTTGAAAAATTAAGTTATGCCTTTAGATAGAAGCTTTTAAGGATGCTCTGGTTTAATTTTCCAAAGAGTTTTTCTTCTACAGTGTGTCACTTAAAGTTGGTGTAAGATGAATCCTTTCAAAAAACCCTCACTTCTCATACATCCTTAAACACAGTTTGCCACTTTTAAGTTATCAGGATATTGTTGGATACTGAACTATGACATACTGTTTATTTCCAATATCTACCCAAGATCAGTGGACAGCATGGTTTGAAGTGCAGCATGGTTTGAAGTGATGGCTTTTGGGGATAGAGGGCTCTCAGTGATCCATCATTACCCAAACTGTCCTTTGGGAAGGGAACTGTTGTAGACACTTGAATATTGGACTGTTTAGTTATGCTAGCTTGGTAGTAGTTGCCTCTAAAATATATTAACTAGATTTATTTGAATTGGGTTGTGGGGTTCTGGGTTGGTTTTTTTTGCCTGCTTCTTGATTTTTACTGTTTCAGCTACTTCTGCAGTGGTTGTTGGAAGGGATCTATAAAACCTCTAGAGTGACTTGCTGCTGTGTTGCTTAGTAGTGGAACCTTTAAAAGTTGATCTTGCAATGAGAAAAATGTTGCAGATTTCAAGTTGACACAATGTACTCTGATGTTAATCCTTTCCATTTATAGTTGTTCTGCCCCAACGTACACTAGCCATCAGAGTAGGGGATTCATTTATTTGCAACTATTAATTTTCCACGCTTCTTGATATTCAGCAAGGATGGTGAGACCAAACTTACTACAATTTAGAGACATTGGTAATGCAATGTTGGCGCTTTCTTAGAATGCTGTATTTTAGCTGATCTTCAGGGAACTATACCGGTAGCTCTCTGAGCCATTGAATTTGATCTGTATAGTCTGGGTTGATTGGAAGGGAGTCCATAAAATACCTTCTGGTTGTGACCTGGTCATTTTGCTTGCACAGCAGTGGGGGTTTTGACTTTTAGTGAGTATGATGCTTAGTTATAGTTGTGTTATTGTTGTGTGCTCTGCTGACAGATGTCAGAGAGATTTAGAGTGGTTTCTGTAGTGCAAGCATTTTTTCTTGCCTGTGTATTACATTTGTCATTCATGGGAGTCCTGGTAAGTGCAGGGAAAATTGGCTTTCTTGAGACAACACAGGAGTATTCCCAATTGGCACAGTTCTAGGGACCTAACCTATCGTTGTTTTACCTCATCTATCTCTTCTGCATATCTTGTCATGAAATGTTTTTGAGACTTAGAGAAAGGAAAGCTCTGGCTAGTCATTAATTCTGTTGAATGGATTCTGATCCTTTCCTGGATGGCATAGTGACTACAGGAGGAAAACCGTATCCAAACTTCGAACTGCAGTGAGGTTCTAAGATGTTTGCATAAGACTTCATTGTTACACAGTGGCTTCCATGAAACCAGTTAAGCGCTACTGTAACACTTAGGGTGTTTGCTGGTAGGAAAACTGGAGTAGTTTTTTTGGGAGACTTCCTGCTGTGCTGAGCAATATCTCTGAATACTCTTTCAGGAAGCTCTGTTCTGTTTTTAGCTCTTAAGAAAATTAAAGACTGGTCCCACAGTACTGTCCAGCATCAAAATAAGCCCTTGTAGTTTAAGTGCTCCTTTGAAAGAAGTTATCTTCTGAAGAGTTCTCACACTTGTGTTTGCTGCCAGCATCTCAGGAAAGTGTGGGATTTTTGATTAAGATGGTAGTTAACAAGGCTAAAGACTGAAGCATGATATAGCAGTAGAGAAAAGGTAACTTAGCAGGGCCACGGGCTTCCCCCCAAAATATGCCAGGTCCTTCATTTAAAAATCCCATTTAATTTTCTGTATTACTCCCCTTTAAATGGGACTAAATAGCTTGCTTAGCTACCAACTCCATTATTATTAACTTCAGCTGTTTATTTCAGTAGCTGTGGGTGTACCTTATTCGGTGCAACTTGTAGTTGTTACTAGGTGACACTTCGGATGACTGACTGAAGAAGCTTAGTTCTCACACACAATTTCTACTGAAACAGAGTGTTTACTTTATGGTCTCAGGGCTGTCTATTTAAATCTGTATCAGAGTTGATCTGTAAGAGAAGTGACTAGATGAGCAACATTCATAAATAAGAAATAGAAAAGCAGCAGTCATCAATAACAAGAGTTCTACGAACTAGTGTAGCAGTGTCCAGGAAATGAAAGTGATTACAGTTTTTTTTGTGGATTTCAGGTAAAATGTGTCCAAAAGAAAGGTGGGGAGATGGACTAGGGGACTGGAATAAGTCAAAAGCTTTGCTGTCAGAAGTGTCTTTAGAGACAGTTTTCTCTTCTCTCTGAGTCAGTACACTTTTCACTGAGGACACCATTCAGAATGCTCAGAGATGACAAGGTCTGATTTACGGTTTGGGTGGTGTTGCCTGAGATTTTTGTTGATGTCTTTACAAATAAGCATTTCACCTGCAAATACATATAATGTAAGTGTGAATATAGAATTATGACTGACTTAAGCTAAAAATAGGAGAGCTTGGGTTTTTTGCCTTAAGGTGAAGGTTCATAAATTGTCTTATAACTGAAAATCCCGTTGCAGGCTGCAAATATCTTGAAAACACTTCAAACAAAATTTGAGGATCTTGTGTTGATGTATGAGAATCCTTCTATTCAGCAAAAAGCACTAGCTGCGATTCCCCTCCAGGAATTAAAGAGCAAGGCTCAGAAAAAGCTATCACAAGCTACAAAACTGGACAAAGGTAATGCTACCAGGTTATAATGTATATGAAACTAAAAATATACTTTCAAACATACTATGTATTGGCTGTGTGTATTTGGTCATATGTTTGCAGGTTCCAAATGCTGTTTCTAAGGTGGAATTACCTTCTTTCTAATTTCCTACTCTATCCTTCTCTTATTTTTTATTTTACTGTTGTCATCCGTCTTTTACTGCTTCACACAAATTTTTGAGTTTTAATTTCTGAATTAGTAGTAAACAATGCTGGAGGAACAAATGGAGTGAGCATGTGCTGTTGCATTCCTTGAATTTAGAATGAAATGGGTACAAGAGGAGGGGAACTGTTTGTTTGAGTAGTCACTATTTTGTAATTGTCAATTCTTGCAATTTTCCTGTACATACTACAGTTCTAAATTCAGAATAAAATCTTTAAATTCTGCTTCTCTTTTTTAAAGTGATATTGGTGAGATTTTGCATGAGACCTTTCCAAGATGTCACCTGATACAAACAATCACCTTTCTTGCTAATGGTTACATGAAAAGGGTTGTTCACATGCCACCCTCTTGGAGCTAGGTGTGGAATGTAGGCCTAAATACTTGTGGTATCAGTCTCTAAAATTTATTTTCTTCATAAATGCAAATTTGTTTTGAATGCATGAAGTTATTGTCAATTAAAAAAATACATTTCTATTTTCAGGTGATGGTTTTAGATTTGTTTCAGTGATATAGTGAAATATTATTCTATGTGATAAATATTAAAAAAAATACAATTCCAAGACCATCTTTAAACAAAAAAAATCCTTCTCACTGTGAATCTTTGATAGAAGACTCTTTGAAGCAATTCTGCTAACTTTATGGGACTGCTCTTGGTTTGCAAACCAGAAATAATCTCATCTCATGCTTTTTTTATAAATTACTTTGTGATGTCTCATAAAACCACGTGGTAATATGTAATTGTGCCTTTAGCATTAGGAAACTTTTTCATAGTGGATTTTTTTTGTAGTTTTTGTTTTCTTATAAAACTGTACTGGGAAGTAAGAAACCACATAAACAAGTACTAAGCATACTTATTCAGCATGCAGTGGAGAAAAGAGACTTAGCAGTAATAAATGACAACTATTAAATTCCTTTAAGAAACAAAAAAAAAAAAGGATGAGCATACCTCTTAGACTCTGTTCTAATACTGCTGTGCATGTTGTTTTAAAAGGGGAAGGAAGGAGGAGGGTAGTGTTTCCAGGTGCTTCCAAAGCCATCAAGCTGATCTATTCAAAATAGCTTCCAGACCTTAATGTAGATACAAATAAGGGGGAAGAGATGGAGTTTCACTGTTTTGGATTCTGACAGCTTGAAAGCATTTTTGAAGAGCTTTATAGAAAATTCATTTGGGAATGGACTGTGTAAGAGATGTATGGGTAGTTGGCCCTTTCAGCTTCTTTGGTTTGTCTGTACTGCTGCATTGACTGCCCCCTGTGGGAATAACTTAATGCTACAGGACACTTGTTTTTAGGACTTGCTTTACTATGTATAATAATCATTTTTGGCTAATAAAGAGTATACTAGGAAGATGATGGTCATTTGATCAGAAGTATGGATTTGGTTTTTTTACTCTTTGCCACATTCCATTAGAAATGCACTGCACAGTGAAAAATAGCTGTGTGTCACAGCCAACCATTTCCTGTTCAAATAAATCACATTTGTCATTGTTCTCATGTGATGTTTCAATGAAGGATTTATTTTATGAACCGAGAGAAGAATTTTTGTATCAGAGCAGTCATATTTTCATAGATGGGTTCTAGTTTGAATGTTATCCAGAAAAAGAGAATATGGTCTGTGCTTAAAATCTTATTGTTCAACTTTTAGCAGAAAGTTTGACTATACAGGCATATCCATTTTTTAAGCAGTAAGCCCTTGTCTGAGTGTTGCAGCACAAAGGCTTTTGACATACATAAGTAAAAATGGAATTTGTACTGTAATTAGAAATCAGATGTTTCTACTTTGATTAACAGAGGATCTCTTCCCATGCACTTCACGGTCTTGGCGATGTGTGTTTAATAGCGTTACGGCCCCTACACGGTGTTTTGTATCAAAGACCACTGCAGCTTCAGAGCAAAGTGTGAACTTGGCTTAAATAAGTAAAATGCACACCTAGTCTTTCTTCACCATCCTGACAAAGGAGCTCATGCACAAATTTGGTGCAACTGCTTTCAACTTTCTTTTAGCAACCTTTTTATGCATTCACTTTGTCTGTTAATATTCATTAGTCAAACCTGTGTTCACTGTGACAAGAAGAAAGCTGTGGTGCATAAAAATGGCCAGGTATTAATACCTATGTTTTCAGTGATGATGGAGTTGATAGGGGGACTTACTTGAATGCTTATGTATCTGAAAAAGAAGAGTATCTCTCTGGACACTGGAGCATAATGTACATATAAAGATTCCAAGAAGTTTAAAGGGGTGAATCTCTCCCGAAAGACTGGATTTTCACACTTCTTATTTAGGTAAAGTGGGGCTGTTTCCAGGTGTCAGAACAGTGACAGCGTTTGAGTAGATTCTAACATGTGTTGTGAACAGGAAAACGGGCCAGACGTGTTTGGTACGGTGAAATCAGCTAGGGTAGAAAATTAAAGACATCCTGTGTCTTTAATAATAAGATAAGCTAAGAAAGGTGTTTGTTTCCTGAATTTAGAACAAACTCAATTTGTTTGCATGGTAAATACATATATTCTACAATAATTAAGCTGTATTTGTAGAAAGTCTGTTCCTATTATAAGTGGTTGTCTAGATTGCTGCTAGCATCTGGTTCTTCAGGATTTTGAAATCAAAGCAATTGTTATTCCTGGTTTAATAGCTAAGAATAAGAAAATAATATTTAGGAGCAAAAAAACTGCTAACGCTCTCCTAAAGCCCTGGAAGGGTATGAGGGGCTTGAGAAACTTCACCAGGCTTCAATGTATATCTGACTTGTTTTTCTGAGCAATTTCTTATTCTTGTTGTAGCTGTAGTGTTTGGGAGTGCAGTCTTTTGGTTTTGAGTTTGACCTTATTCAGTCTTGACAATTTAAATTTTGTTTTTTTATGTACTTTTTATATGATTAAGTATTATTATTATGAAGCTTGTTTAATGTAATTTTTTATTTTAGAAGTACATATAAAACATGTATCGTAAAGGCCCAGAGATGCTGATTTGCATAGATACTGTTAAGTTCCACTAAATTACTTTTCTATATAAACTAACTTTGTGTTGTATAAATTTTACAGGTGCACATGTGAACGAAGATGACTTCCTATTGTTGGAGCTTTTGGACTGGTTTAAGACTGACTTTTTTCATTGGGTAAATAGTCTTCCCTGCAGCAGGTGTGGTGGGCAGACAGAGCCTAAAAGTGACTACCTGTTGCCTACTGAGGATGATGTAAGGTGGAATGCCAGTCGAGTGGAAAACCACTACTGCAACCAGTGTCAGTTCTCTAATAGATTCCCAAGGTGAGTACACAGAGGCCTCCTTTGTCTTTTTTCTTGTCTTTCAAGAAATAGCTTTACATTTGTGCATTTTGCGAACAAGTGATAAGTCGTTAGTTGAAACATTAGTGAAGCTGTTTTAAGTATGATAATAGTGGTTGATGAATCAGCAATTTGTCTACATGAGCAAATTAAAAACAATATATTACTTTCTACTATGGCGCCTTGTTCTGCATACTTGTCTAATTTAACTTTTTTTTCACTGTTAATTTGATGAAGGACAGCTTCTAAATAAGATATGTTTACATTGCCAACCATGTGTAGGTAATGTTTTGTTATTGCAGGGAAAACTTTCACTACTGTGGAAAATCACAGTGTAATGCACATCTTTGGCTGAGTCTATAGCAAAAGAGCAAATATCCAATCTTTGGATGACTTTTGCGAACTATCAAAAGGACCACGGTACAAAAATTATATTTTAAAGTATCTAAATCAATTTTAAAAACTTGAAAAACAAGATTCATTTTAATGCTGTTATAAACATGATGGAGTCACGTGAGCTGACGTAACATCCTGCTCAGACTTGTTTTGTGCAGTACAGTGATCATTTCTGTTATCATCTGTGGACTGATGGGTACTGAAATCTGTTCAAATCATCAGAAGAACAGTTGTGATGTAAAGATTTCTGAAAGGTGAAATGTATTTTCAGTTATTCTTGTTTTGCTTTTCTCCTGTAGGTACAACAACCCTGAAAAACTTCTGGAAACGAGACGTGGACGCTGTGGCGAGTGGGCAAACTGTTTTACACTGTGTTGCAGAGCTGTAGGGTTTGAAGCGAGATATGTCTGGGACTATACAGGTATCAGTGTTCTAGACTATTGTAATGTTAATCTACACCTATGCAAAATGAGCCTATGTATTTTATGTTTCTCAGATTATATTAGTCATCAAGGCAGCATGTACAGTTACGCAGTTCAGCTAACAAAGACAGTATACATTCAATTTTCTGTCCTGCCTGATGAGATGAAATACACTTCTGCAAGTAGGGTTGGATAACTGACTTAAGAATGATACAATCTTTCCTTGAATCTAAGGGACTGTGATCCTGAGATAGAAAGAGAAAGCTCCGGTAATGTTTCTGATGTACAGAATGTTTACATGTACAGAAAACGTGTTCTTGCACCTGTTCCTTTGTTTGATAAATTGGAAAAAGTTAAAAGATTCTACAAGGTTAGAAGAGATGCTCTATCCTTATAACTCATTTTGTATTCTTGGCCTTTATGACATAGATCATGTGTGGACTGAGGTGTATTCTTCATCTCAGAAAAGATGGCTTCACTGTGATCCCTGTGAAAATGTCTGTGATAAACCTCTTCTCTATGAAACTGGGTGGGGAAAGAAGCTCTCCTACATTATTGCATTCTCAAAAGATGAGGTAGGAGTAATGATGCTAATAATAAAAAAACTAGCCTCTTTAAATATGAGGCAAGATACATCAGAATTTTGGTTGCCTTACTTTCTTCTTCAACTTGTACTTGAGGTTGTTGATGTCACCTGGAGATACAGCTGTAAACATAAAGAAGTACTCTCTAGAAGGACAGTACTCAGCGAAACAACGCTACGTGAGACAATTAATGCACTAAATACAATGGTATGTAGCTTTTCTTAAATGGATTTATTGAAGTGAAACACAAGCATCTGCAGAATGTGCAGTCCTTGAACAAAGGAATGCATTTGGTAACCTGATAGGAATGTCCATGCACTATGGATATAAAAAATGCCATCAACTATGCATTTTGACCTGAATACATAAGAATCAGATGCAGTGCTGAACTTGTGGGAAACAAGATAAAGAATTGTATGCAAAAGGGTTATTGTATTATCTATTACATAGACACGTATGTATATGTTGTTCTTAATGATGTTGGAATAGACTTGTGTATCAACAGATGCTGGGTGTAAACTGCAACTCCTTTCTAACTATGTATACTCCTTGAGGGTGGCTGAGTGTTTTCCACATCAATAATGCTATGATTTGAAAACAGTAGCATTTACAGTTGTAAGAAATGTAGGCTTAATATGCTTTTTGTGACTTTTTACAAGCTGCAGGAAGAGTGAGAAATTATTTGGTTTCCAAGACTTTGAAAAAGCATTGATACCATCAGCAGAACTTTGACTCAGTCACATATATGTGTGCTGTTCATGCTTAACAGTCCCAAAACACACGGAGCCATTTACACCTGTGTGTCATAGTTGCAGAACCTCTCTGCTAAGTTTTTTTCCACTCCACACTTGGAACAGGATGAACTTTGCTTGATTCAGTATACTAGAATATTGTAAAACCTTGAACTACCTGGGGGGTTCTGTTTTGTCCTCACTTCCTTACAGGGCTAATATTCCTGTGCATGGGAACTGTAGTTCCAGTGGAAGTATGCAGCCGATCCTTTAATAAACAGATTATGCCTTTTTAGGGGCCTACTGGCTTCAGAGTTATAGCCACACACTAAGAGGGTGAAGAATTGAGTTGGGCTCATGTTTGAGGCCAGGGCTTGAAATCGTTTTGCCAGCAATGAAAAGTTAGAGTCACATGGCAGAGTGGAGCACTAAGGCTCTGGACAAGGCTAACCAGAGTGCAGTTACAGGGGAGTAAGGCAGCTCATCCCTGGGACTATCAAGCAGGTTTTCATTACTCCATTCAGTCACAAGTCTCCACTTCGGCTCCTATGGTTTCCTTCATGTCAGCCTATTCAGCTGATAACTGACACAGAGGCCTCCACTAACCTTCCCTTTTCCCATCAGCTCCTAGAGGCTGGCTCCACACTAGGACAGATTATAGTCTTTATGTTGTTTAGTGCAAAGCTCCAACACTGTGTCTTTTAAGCTCAGTTCTTCTAAGTTACAGTTAAAGAGAAGCATGGCAGGCAGTATACATTATCACCTGTACTGCAGTGTTAGCAAAAATGGATTTGAGGGGTCATTACTGCTCTTTCCTGCATAAAGAGCAGTGGCTGTGGCCATTATTTCTCTGCGTGTCTGTTTAATTGCCAAGCAGAGACCACACAATGGTTCAAAGCATGTTGAGTGGCTTGCTGTTAAATGGATAACAGACAAGGATAATTTAATCTCCTCAGTATGTTGTTTTACTTTTAAAAAATATCGTATGTATTTTATCTGGGTCGGGCATTCCTAAATGGGTGTGTAGCCTCTGGGCTACCCACCATCTGATGTTACTCTGTAGTACCATAGCACACTCTTGACTACAAATTTTCTTCATGTACTTTGTATGGTCTCTGTCCTATTACAGTCCCTTGTATGTTACCCCTATAGAAAGTGGGGAGAGGACCCTGAACTTTCCACTGGTTTCATTGAAAATGGGATGGTGGGACAGGGAAGCAAATTATTTTTGTATTTTCTCCAGGCCCCAGTTTTTCGGTAGTGATTGTGAAGGGTTAGTGTCAGCCAGGTCAACTCTTACTAGGAAAACTAGTAATTTAGGTTGAATTGCAAGCATTTCATGGTGATTAATGTGAGATGATCTAGTATTCCTTGTCAAAGGTTTAAAAATCAGTTTCTGCCCTCAAATTATCTCAAACCTAGCAGTGGGTCCGCTTAAACAATAGGTTGTTGGTCTCCTGAAAGCACAGTCCTTCAGAAGGCATCAGTAGCACAACTCACTTGATACAGAATTGATTTTAAAGGTGCAATTCACAATTTCTCTTCTTTCTCATTACCTTTGCCAAACAAAGATGGGGCCTGAGCATGTTTGTAGAGGGTAATATCTTAGGGGGAAAAAAAAAAAGTAGAAGCACAAAGTTTGAACCATGGCACTTGGTAACGGAGTTCTTGAAATGCATTTCAGCACATGGATGCTATTCATGACAATGTCATTGGTAGGAAATGTAGTTACAGATTTTCCCAGCACAGGCAGTGTTGATCTCTGAGCATTATGCATGTCTTGCATGCTGCTAGCATTTCTATGCAGGAGTCCGCCGGGTGGCAAGAATTAGCATACTTGTACTGTTTATAGCTGTGGAGCTCACTCATTTCTTGTATTGTACATAAAGAGGTCTGTTTTCGGAAGCCTTCTCGCGTTGAAGCACTGTTCTTTAGCAGGTTTCTTTTCAACTACTGTTAAAACAACTGCACAGCAAGGAGCATCCAGTTCTCAGCATGGCATCACTGATTTCGGAGGTGATGCCCTCTGACATTGGGTTTCCCCTACATCAAAGGGGCTTGAAGAAAATTGTAATTGGTATTCTTAACTTAGGGTAAGCCATATCAAATTTCCTCTGAGCTGGAATGAGATCTGTAGTACTGCAAATGCATATCCCAAGTATTCAGGCAATGTTAGTTTGAGGAAGGCCTGGTGTTTCACTGCTGGAATCACTGCTTGTCATCCATCAGCTCAAGCAGAGTGCTTTTTTCCCCCTTGCTGTGTTAGAACTGGTATTTGGCATCTGGAATTTGTTCAGTTGGAGCTGTTTCTCATCATTTCTCTGTATTTACTTCCCTTTAGCCAGTTTCACATTGTTGTTTTTTTTTTTTCTAGACAACAATCTTGAAATGTCTCTTGTGATCTCTAATAGCAAAACTGTTTTGGGTCAGAACTGCTTTTGAGATAATTGGAATGCTTATCAGCCTCAAGTTTCGGGTCCTAGTGGGCTGAGTGTGCATGCCTTGGGTGATCACCAAAACAGAAAAAAAAGATGATGTGTAACAATTTACATACTCAATGTTAAACTTAATTTTCCAGCCCTGTGTATGTTTATCCCAGTTTAAAAAAAAAAAAGGCTTTACACGCCTTTGCATATTTGATATGAAAATCATGCAGACAAAATACTAGCCTCCCAATGAAATTTTTCAGTGTTGTGCATCAAAATAATGCCTGGTTTTTACTGATATAGGCAAAGAAAGCATGTTATGAATTCTTTTTATTTTCTACTGATTTAGGTGGAAGTAAGTTTTTGTAAGTTTTTCTTAGTTTTCTGACATCAGCGAAAATAGAAATGTCATAGTGTGTTTGTGATAGAATCAGTCACACTGAAATAACTCTTCGAAGATGAACTGAATCTTTTGTTTGGGCTTAATCACAAAACCAAGACTGTTGCCAACCAAATCATTCTGTGTTAGAGAAAAATTGTTTGACCCAAAAATGATACTTACCTTCCTTTTCCCCTAAATAATACTGAAAACAGCTATGGTACAGAATATATACCTCTATATAAATAGAGATAAAATATTGTATGGAAGCATCTCGTCATCCAAGCAAATGTATTAAAAACATAGCACAAACCTTGTTTTAAAAGAAATCCACATATAGTGCACAGCAAGTTCATAGAGAATGCACTACTGTCGAATAACTATGCAGTTATGTCTGGTTTATATCTGCGTATGTGGTGTAAGATTAATGTTTCTAACAGTCAGTCTAGATTTTAAATTTTAGTCTGGTTTTTTCAATTCTGTTTTTCCCTGTTGATGTCCTCTAGAGCAGAATGACAAATACCATTTTTTCTGAATTTTTTACTTATATGTTTTTTTTCCAGAGACAAAAGTCTTTGTCAGAAAGTAGAAAAAGAGAGCTCTTGGAAAGGACTATTGTGGAACTTGTTGAATTTATTTCTCCTAAAACACCTAAACCTGGAGAATATGGTGGAAGGACATCAGGCTCGATGGCTTGGCGAATGGCCAGAGGTGAAATTGGCCCAGAGGTATTTAACTTTTGCACTGATGACCATCTTAGAGGGACCTGACTAGAGGTTTTATGATTATGGTCTGCAGAGGAAGAGCATTTCACGTTAGGTAGCTTACAGATTTAGTTAAAACAAATGAATTATGCAAAAGCATTAGGTGCAAGTTTGATGTGAATTCAGTAGAGGTCCACAAGTAAATTTGGACGATTCATGGTTGTCTGTTGATTCCAGTAATGTTTGGGAATCCTTGATCTTTTGTTCTTACAAATGAATAAAAAATATTTTTTCCTTTAAATAGTTGGTGTGACAGAACTAGGAAATTTAAGTCAGTTGAAAACAATTGGGAAAACTTTAAAAAAGTGTTTCTGTTATTAGTTTCTTCCAACTTTTAACCAGTAGTAGGTTTTGACAAAGTGTTTTTGTTAATAAAACAATATGGGAGCAACTAGAATTATGTACTTTAAACAATCTCTTAAATAATAAGCTTGGTTGATTTTCATATCAGTATTTTTTTACTATTTCCAAAAGCAAGATTTGATTTTTATTAATTTTATACTAAGATACAGTTTTCCAGAACAGTAGTCATGTTTAGCTTGAGTCAGGATGCAAAATTGTGACCTTAATCTTGGAACAATACTGTCATGTGAAGGACTGACAATCTAAATAGAACCAGTTAAGTGAAATTATTGAATTTCATGGGATTGTTTGAGAAACTAAGGGTTTATTGTGGTTCTCCATGGTTCAGAAGACTTAATTTCTACTTTGCCGAAACTCATGAGAACAATGAATGTTATTAAGGAAAGTAATAGTGTGAAGTTACAAAGTTGGTACCTGAAGTTTTTTGAAGTTGATTTATAAACGGCTGTACTGAAGCACCTGTATATGGTAGTCACAGAATTACATTTGCTATTCAAATAACCATGTACTTATTGATTGTACAAGAAATATGCTCAACATATAAACTTTTTATTCTTAACCTCTAATTTCTTACTTAAATGTGCTAATTCTATGTTAGCTTGTTAAAAAATTACTTCTAAAAGTAATTACACGAAAACTTTAAAAATAAAATTAGTGCTCCCCATTGTAAAAAGGTGCAAGTCTATTGTAGGAAACTGGTTTAAAACTTCTGTTCTGCAGAAGTGCTTTTTTCCATGACCTCTCTTAAAAATGACATTTTTTCACTTGCAGCAAGACTGAATTGGGAAACTATGACATACTGTTTAAAAGTAACATAGTCTTTGGGGAATTTAGGCGTAGGGAAATGAAGGTGCTTGTATTTTTTGCCTTTTTCAGAAAAAAAAAGAAGTACTTTTTATTCCCTCTGAAAAGGAGAAGAAATCTAAACTCTTCCACCTCACCTACAGTATAGTAGATGACAGTTATACACGGATTTCCAATAATAATGAAAAAATAAGTGGCTGGGAAGCAGGTGTTTGGAAGGCAGAATCTGTTTGGAGAAAGGTTGAAACAGATTGGAAAATGGTAAGAATAGCAATTATTTAATGCATATGATCTACTGTAAAAGTATAACTCAAATAAAATAGAAAACCCTTGCCAATGTTTGGTATCTAAACCTCTCTTGGTGCCCATAGAATTTAGCTGATGTTAGTAAATGTTACTGTTAAGCTTCAGGTAAGACTGCCAGATGATTTAAGAAATTGGAAATAAATTTAGCTTATCTTTCAGAAAGGATGACCAAATTCTCTACAGATAGGTAAAGTCCTTGCCAGAGCACTGAATTTTAAAAAATGGTTTTCTTCTTCTCTCAAAGAAAAAAAAAAGGGAAGAAAAAAGAATATTTTTGTGTTGTTTTGGAGAATAGCTCTATAGAGTATCATATCTCTTTGATACACAAAGGAAGAAATTGTCATCCAAAATATTATAGTTCCATCTGCAAGAAGGCAAAAACCAGTCAGTTATCCAGATTATTGTATACCTTGCCCAGAATCCTTCCCATCTGTCAAGACACTGAGCAGCAGAAGAGTCATATGCTCTAAATCTGAGAGCTGAAGCCTGTGAGATGGGAAGGGGTTGTTTACTAGCAAACAGCTTTTCCCACAACAGCAACCAACTGTGGAACTGAACATTCCTGGCAGGGACTGTAGCATGTCACTGCTTCTTCCCCTGCCATCTTACTAGTCTGAAGGATCTCTGACCAAACATTCTTCTAGCTTAGGCAGTGGTTTTACTCTGCATTGATGAAAATGGAGTTAAGTATGTAACTAACTGCCTTCTGAGGTTTTCTGTGCTGGGTCTAAACTGATTTGCAAAATCCAATGGGGGAGTAGCTTGGAGAGGTTATGCTACAAAAAGGAGAAAGAAAAAGGAAAGAAATGGGGTAATAATATAAAAGATGTCACTACAGGGTAGGCTAATAGTAGAAGAGAAGTAAATAAAACTCAGAGTGAGGGACAGCTCTTCTCTGCTTTCCTAGTATCTGCTAAAAATCTGATAGCACATTTTATTTTCAAATCTGCAATGATCAGTTATCCTCACTTTTGCAAAAAAAAATACTCTCCTTGCAATGGAACTAAGCTCCAGTTCTGCTCACCTCTACTAATCAGATAAACCAGGGTGGGACCAATTTAAAAGACTAGGTGAAATGATTTTTCGCCTTGTATTCAACAGCACCTCAAAAGGATGAGAAAAAGGCCTTGAGAAATTAGGAGCTACAGCTCCAGGTATATCTCAGGCTTATGGGGAAGGCATGTTAGTTCTGCAGTTATTACATCCTGCAGAAAGTCTGTGTAAGAATCTAAGAATTCAAAATGACCTTTCATTAGTGGTGGTTAGTATTATGGGAGACAGCAGCAGAGGGAAAGGTTGTTTGGGGTTTACCTGTTATTTTTGTAAATCTTCTGGTAGCTCTGCAAGATACAGCTTTGTAATTTGGTTCAGCAGCTGTCCAAGAACTTAAGAGCCAAAAGAGCCGCTACAGAAATACTTCGTTCATCATTTACTATGTGATGAATGGAAAGGAATTGAAATCTAAAAACCACAGAAAATGTATCTGTAGGCGTTAGCCCAGGAGTAGCAGAAAATAACCATCAGCTATGTATTCTGTCCTTGCAGTGTTGCTGATCAAAATGATTCAAAGATGATACTTTTGGTCAGTCTGATATTAGCCATCTCCATCGTGTTTGTGTATTTTTTTGCTATTCAGTGTCACTTGACTTTATGCTACACAACACAAACAGGTACAAGCCACAGGTTCAATCAGATTACCCAGAGATAACTTGACACCCAGGACTCAAGCAAGCAGAGCACAGTAGGTGAAAATAAGAGCATAAGAACCTGTAGATCTGAAATCCGTGTATTTCTAAATGGCTTGTTTTCCAGAAGAATTGCTCCAATGGAAGAGTATTTGAATGAGTCGGTTTGTTGGTTTGCGGTTTTTTCTCCGAATTCAGACTTCTTTCAAATAATTCTGGAAACAAAATAGCCAAGTTTGAAAGCTAAGAACAATCAAAAAGACACAAAAGAAAACTTTTTCTTTTTTTCTGACTAAGTGCTGGAATATTATTATGGAAGATGAAACAGGCTAATGTTTAAAGCTTTTAGGGATAAACCCTATTTTTAGTGCACTTCAACTAAATAACATTTAATGGAGTGTTTTGGCTTCCTTGCTCAAATACAGCAGTTCAATAAGATCTGATCAAGGGAAAGCTCTTGCTAGAGCTACCTGAGATACTTAAAAAAACCTGTGGAGATCAGCACCGTCATGAAGATTAATATTATATTCACATGAAAACAGGGTAAATAATTAGATTTTCATAGGTGATCTTCAGTGTGACACATCACACCTCTGGGGTTTTTGAGCTTTCTTAAACATGAAAATAGTAACACTTAAATTCTGTTTTATCACACTTCTATATTAGAGTGGGATCTTTAGTAAAACATACTGCTGTGTTTTATTATTATTATTTTATTCTGGGTTGTTCTCTCAAGATTAAAAAATAAAGAGCTAAATCCATTCAGTATGACATTAATCAGAAACCTGGACATGACAGAGTTTTTCTGAGTCTCCTTAACTTAGGTTTCCAAAAGAATCACAGCAGTTTTGACTCTTTAATCAGTAATGTCCATTTTGGTTTTCTGATAATAGATGTTGTACTTAAAAGAACTGTCAGATGCTTGGTACAGAACTTTAATGAGCATTAATATGGGAGAGAGACTGTTCAACCAGATGAAGTTTAGAACAACATTAGGACTAAATTAAATTATGCGAAGTTCAACAGTTCAAATAACAGTAATGCAGGATTTACATATATCTGGTGTGGGTGATTTGCTTTAACCAAGACATGTCAAGTCCTAGGAGAAGCAGTGTGTAGCCAGCAGCCACACCTGAAGAATCTGCTGATGACACAGTTTTCTTCATCAGTAACACTGAACAACTTAAATGTGGGGGCCTGTGCAGTATAGAAAACCTCAGAAGTCTTTAAAAAATAACAAGTTTAGATGTTTTTGTGGCTTGGACTTTATTATGTATGTTGAAATAGTGTTCCCTAGTGAAGAGTAATAAAGATGTACCATTACCTAACTGTGGAATAAACTTAAATATGAAAATTCCTTCGTCCTTAAAATGGTATTTAGTACAGCTTTAAAGGTTCAGAGGCTTGACAAAGTATGAAAGAGTGTTATCTTAAGATTTTTGTGTCCTTGTTACAAGGATTAATTTGATGTGTCTGTTGGTCATCTCAGTTTTTGACATGTCTTCTTTCCATTTAGGTTTATTTAGCCCGAAAAGAAGGGTCATCCTCTGCTTCCATCAGCTGGAAGTTTGAGTGCAAGTCAGTCGGTCTAAAAATAGATAACATTTCAGTTAGGACAAGCAGTCAGACTTTTCAGAGTGGAAGAATACAGTGGAGACTTTGCTCTCCAAAAGTAGAAATTTCTCTGATGGGAGGTAAGTGTGAAATTTAAATAATGAATTAAGTCACGCAGCAGAGGTGTAACTAGAAATAAATAGTTTATATGGAGAGAGTACTGTGCAAATACTAAAAATTAAATGTGAATTTTTTTTCACTTTTCCAACTCCAGTGTTTCTTAGCAAGGTCAAGAAAATACTTTGCATTTAATTAACACTGGTACAAAACCCAGTTTTATTATAATATAGAACCTTACCTGCAACAGAGCAGGGAGTGCATACAAGACAGTGGTGTTTTACTAGGAATGATAGATACTTCTATGTCTGGTGGCATCAATCCTGACTAGGCCTTCTGAACATTTAAACAAATAATAACTAAAAATTTGTAGCTGGTGATTTTGTTTTTTCTCTGCCACCAATGAACAGGAAAATTCAAGTAGCTGCAACTGAGTTCCTTGAACATCCATTACAACTTACACTTTTTTACATGCATTGTATCATTATATACTGTCTGGAGTAGTGGCTTACTGAATTATTTATCTTTTCCTCCGATAGATAAAAATCTTTGCTCCTATTCAGATTTTTCTGGTGCAACAGAAGTTATGTTGGAAGCAGTTCTAAAGGGAGGGGATGGTGAAGCTGCATGGCAACACACACAGCTGTTTAGAGAGAGCTTAACAGGATGCGGAGAAAATTGCTTGGAGATAATTATAAAACTCAGTGACCTCTGAGAATCTGAACTGCAGAGATGTACTTTGGATTCCTTGAAGACATTATACTATGGAAGATTTGGTTGACAATTCTTCATCCTGCTGGCAGCGTATTTCCTGTTTCACTGCTTCCATTAAACCAGCTTGAAACTGCACATGTATTCAATAGGTAAACATCGCTATGAAAACCTCTTTGTCTGTAAAAACAAACACCAAAATTAAGGCATTGAACCATAAAGTACCCTTTTCTTAAACTTTGCAATGAGAAAAAAATAATTTTTAGGAAGCAAAACTTGACTGTAGGAGCACCAAACAGCTGTACCTGATTTTAATTTGGAGTTTTGTGATTGGCTTGCTGTTTTTTGGGGTTTTTTTAATCATTTACTTGGAAAAACAGTTTGAATTCCCAATTACAGCAGATGCTTGTGATGATCTTAAAATATTTTAAAGAATAATAGAAAATTTAGACATTTTAAAGAAAAATATGATTTTATATAATATCAGAAGTGCTGAAATTAAGTTAGTTTCAAGATTACTTCAAAATTTTCTTGTTACAATTTAAGTATAATAACAGTGTTTAATACGTGGAAATATTTGGAAACCTGAAGGTTGCTGGAAACTAATTTTGAAAGAAGTGGTCATATGTACCTAAAATTGTCATGGCCTGTGGTATGAAATTGAGACTTAAAACTGAGTAAGAACATCACAGGTTTTTTTCTATGAAAAAATAGGTTATTAATTATAAATACTTTTTTAATGATATAAATTCAGATTTGCTTAATAAATCTTTTAAAAAGTAGTCAGGTAGGTTGAAATCTTCTTAAGCTATTGTCTTGAGTTGCTTTGAATGCCATTCCCAAATTTGATGTAAAAATATATACAAATTTTCTGTTCATTAATGCAGTGTTTAAATTTATTTTCGATCATATAATAAAAAATGAAAAAATGCCATCCAGGAGATGTCAGATGTTGCAGTGATGTGAATAAAGCATGGAGTGAATGTTCAGATTAGATAGTCTTTGTCAGAGAATCTGAGGAAGGCTATGCCTCGATACAAAAATATAGGACTAAAATGCAAAGTTCAAACTATAGTTTTATTTCAAAATAGGTGAGAATTAGGGTTGATGTTCTCAAGATGAGTGTTTTTAAAGTTCTTCTTCTATCTTCTGACCTTTCCGACCTCTGTATATTTGAAATGATTGTCAGAAATAATTTACGTTGAAATAAATGCTTACTGACCTTTCAACAAATCTAAGCAAATACAAAACTATTCAGATTTTATTAGGAAACTGCAAATGCACAGTGAACGCAGGCGTCAAAATGATCACACAGGCATCTTAAAAAGTAGTAGATTATGGCAGTTTAAGAGTGACAGAATGATATATGATGGATTATATACTTCTGAATGTAAATTGACAGTTTATGAGGGGGATTAGAAAGGGAGGGTCTCACTCTCGGCGCAGAACAACACAGTGACAGGGTACTGTGTGGAAGGGTGTTCATCAATACATAACTAATGCAAGGTGCATTTGCCAGTCTCCATTCAAAACTGCTCCTGTATTTGGTTTCAGCTAAATGATTTTTCTGAGATTTTGGTGGGAACCAACAAAAAAGTATTTTAGATTAAAATGTATACTATCTTGAAAGAAAAAAAAGGAAAAAGAAGACTCAAATGAAACCAATCAACAAAAATGTTTCCACTTCATATTTTGATAGCTGAAAAAGTTACTGCTGTAAGACAGAAATTTTGGTTTTGCATTATATTACTTAAAAGGACCTTGAGCACTTGCAGAATTCCTTAACTGTATCTGATAATTTGAAAGCAGAAGGTAGAATAAATTTAAAAGTAGTAAGATAAAGTAATTTTCTCACAATTTTGGTCAGAATCTCTGGGGGAAGAGTAAGAGCTGCAGATAACTTAATAAAACAGGAGAGTAATTTAAGTCCATTATTAAAATGCATGAATGAATTAAAAAGATTGAAAGATTGAAAAATACCTTACCAATCTAATTAATGAAAAAGTACTTCTGTATTTGTAAGATCACACGTAATGAATAGAAGAGCTTATTTTAGGAAAAAAAAACACTCAGACTGAATAGAGCTAATATGAAAAATTTAAATGTAACTCCTTCAGGTGTCTTTTGGAGTACCCTTTAAACAGTGAACACTTTGAATCTCTTCCTGCATAAGCTGTTATAAAGACACTAATTTTCTCTGCTGATCCCCATTTTAGTGCAAATCTTAATTTTTTTTTTTTTTTTTTTTTTTAAACTGGAGGTAATTCCTCATCCGTGCTTGCTTAATCTAACTTACACTATCCTGAATTTGCAGTATTACATGGTGGAAAGATCTGTACTGCGATCTGCTCTAAAAGTAGGGGTATTAAGTTATGCTGGCAGTGATATGATACTGGATGAGTAGTATAGGCTGATCAGGGCACATGTAGCCAAAAGTCAATGCTTACTCAACTTCTTAGAAGTTTGAGGAGGTGGAGGTTAAATGGGGTTAAATTAAGAAACGTATGACTTAATACAGGTAAAATCAGCAATGTTTTCAAGAATTCAGCTTAGTCTGGTACATTTTAAGGAACACCTAGCTGTCCAGCATGCCATGGGTGCCTTCCAAAGTTGAGGTGTAAGAGTGAAATCTTTTCAACCAAAATTTACATAAATACTGTACTGCCCAGTTAATTCTTGCGAACTAATTTTGGAGTGCATGGTTTCCGACAGAACTATGTGGGAACCTGTGCACAGAATTCCTCCTTTCAAACAGACGTTTGTAGGACTGTTTTCTGTCTAGAGTTGATCGTACTGTTAATTTCTTCATATCCTGTTTTGATGCTGAGTGCTGTATGCAAAATAGCAACTACTAGAGGCAACCCACTACATTATTGGTAGTAATTTCCTACACTGCTGGAAGTTGCTGAAAAGATGTATCTTTAAAACATATGAAGGAAGCCCCTTCTAGGCGGTGTGGAAAGAAAGCACAGGTGTTCAAGAATCAAGCAAACTTCAGTGTAAATTATATACTTGCTTGCATGGAGAAGTAAGTAATGAAAATTATCTTGTCTGGTCCTGTATGATAATCTGTCACCTTTACTTGTCTGTTATCCATGAGAGATTTTTCACATCTAGTGGCCTACATATGAGATATTATCCCTATTATGTGCAACATCAGGAAATGTAGAACACTAAAAATAAAGTATGTTTGTCTCCATAGTGCAGTGGAATGAAAACAGATGGTAGGCAACACATATGGCTGCCAGAAGCTGGCAACACCCATTTGCAGAGTTCTTGTAGCTCAAAACAAAACACGCCAAAACAAAGGAATTCCAAGGGGTGTAGAGATTGTTCCAGTCAGATATCAGGATATCTGTCCTCCAGGTGCACTCTACTCATTTCTTTACCTTTAGTTGCTAAAGCTAGAAATGGAAGTGTACTAGTTAAGAATTTAATGGACCTCCTTAGTATTTGTCAACTTATAATTTTTTAAGTATTGGTATTATTTAAAATAAGTCTTTAATTTTCACTGTAGGTTTAAACCTCTGGTTTTGGATAAAGTTTAAAATTTTGCCAAGTAATTCAACAACATAAAAAAATTTGTCAATATCGAAGGAGCTTTTCTATCACTGCTTCACATCATATGGAGGGTTGAGAAGGAAATTACAGACAGGTGACTTCCTTAAACAGTTGCTGGAATAGACCTAGGTCCTTTCTAGATTATGAACAGGTTTTTTTGAGTTTATTCAACTTTATGCTAGTTTATTCCACTGTTACTTTATGGGGTGCTGTTTTTGCGAGCAGTGCCTTATGCCTTGTAGCTTGTGGCCTCTCTAAGCAGTGATCTATGATGCAACGCTTATTACAGGTTATTATAGGATTGTTGGTCTTGTAGTGTCATCAACAGGAGCAGCAGGAAAGAGTAATAGCACTAGTATCTGGGACAATTCTATGTTCTTTATGCTAATCTTGAATATTTAACCCAAGCAGAAGGACAGTAGAGTAAAAAAAAAAAAAAAAAAAAAAAGTCTTCAGTAGGTTGATACAGTTTCTTTTTCCCTAAAGTTATGGAGCAGAATTTTGAGACTGTGTTACGGCACTTAAAAATGGTGAAGGAACAAGCCAAGGGTAAACAGCCTTAAATATTTGTATTTTAGGTGTACAGATACTGTGAAATGTATAAGGGTTTACATGTCTGAAAAAGAGAACAGGGATTTTTCCATTGATAAGATTTTTATTCTTATCCTTGGTCTTTGTTTTTTTCATGGTAAGCTTTATAATTAAGCTCTTAGCTTTGTTTATAATTAGCCTGCTTCAGTTTCTGCAGCTTTATCTTTTTCTACACATTTTCATGTAATGTAAAATACATTTTAATCTGCTTTATGTGGAGAATTGTAGCTGTATGATATGTACACTATGACAAAAATTAGGTTGATTTCTTTTTTTGGTAAAAGGAGATAAAAGGGATAGATTAAAAATATTCAGACTGAGCAAAGCAAAACAAAAAAAAAGGCATTAGTAATTAAAATTGATGACACCCAGAAACCAAAAAAATAACAGGACTTAATAAAATTTTGTGGTGAATTATAATGTAGTGGACTACATAAGTAGTGCTGGCAAAAGTAGCTTCCATAACTCGACCCTGTTTTTGAGGTATTTTTCTGTGTGTTCATTTATATTTATGTCCCTTAAAGTTTTCAGTAGAAGAAAATTGCTCAGAATAGTGAACAGCTTTTTTGAAAAGCAGTCCAAGATTTAAGGAATATCTGTTTTAAAATATTTTTGTTTTTACTAATCTAAGCTACATAATTTTAAAATTAAGAACAAGATCCTGCTTGCCTTGTTACAGGTTCTTTTTTGATCCAGTGGATAATTGGGATCTTTGATTTTGGAAGAGTGTGTTTAGTGGCATACTGTAACCAAGAGCTTTAGTAGCATGCTGTCTGTAATGATTATGAAATTTCAGTGTGGCATTGAGCACCTACAGATACTTCAAGGACTGAGTCTTAAGTGCTGGCTAGCTATGACCTTCTATTAGAGGTCTTAAAAATTGGGGGAAAAGATGATTTCACCATGCATTTTGATTGTGATGTTTCAGTGTACATTCTGTTAAATTGATCCTCTTGTTACATAATGCTATGTGTTATTTCATATCCTTGGAACTGCAGTAATATAGTGTATGTCTCCCATATCCTTGAAGTCCCAGGAGAAAATATCTTCCCCCCTGAAAAACATCATCCAGCAGTTTATCTCTTGTCACAATCAAAAGGAAGTGCTGGACTTACTTTAGATAAGCAGTTCGGATAACAATATATAGCCTCCCTTGTGAAACAGTCATAAGGAAACCAGCTGACATAAGAAAATGAAGACATCCAAGAGTAATGTTTAAGCAAACTCGCAGTAGAGTAGGTGGAACAGTTGGTCACAACCTTTTAGAGCAGATGGAAACACCAGCAAAGTACAGAATGGAAGGACAGAGAGACTCACTTCTTGCTTCTGCCGTTAACCATTGTGATGAGATGGATAGAAGGTAATGGATTATATGTGTGTCCAAGCTTACACTATACCAAAAGTCAAAATAACGTACTTAAACTGCAGCAGTTTTTACTTCTAGCCAAAGTATCAGGGAAATATATGGTATATTAAAAAGCAAAGTTCACCACTGGCAAAAAAAGATTTAAAACTCTATTGTTCAAAATGGAAGTGCCTGCTTGTGGACTGCATTAAGCATTGTGGAACCATTCTGGTTTGGCCCCAAACTGGTTTTGGTTTGTGTGTTTCTTTTAAGTTGTTTAGGTAGGAGTTTGTTGCCTAAGTATGCTTACTGATTTCCATGATTCTGGCAATAATGGTTTCAAAGAAAATAGTCCTCACCCCGTTCAAAAATTAAAACTAAAGTTTGGAATAAAAAAAAAAACAAACCAACACCTCCACAAGAAGGTAGCAGGACAAACAGGAAGTGGAGGAAGTGTTAGAAGCTGCAGTTTAATTTTAACACTTGAGGATAGAAGAAGGTTGAGATCAAGTTAACACTGATAAATGAATGTAAAGTTTGCGTCATTTAGGGTTTTATTTTGCAAAAAAGCTAATTGTTTCATGTTTTTTCATAAATATTTTTGAAAGGAATTTGTATCATCATGGAGCCTTTCAAAAGGAAACAACATCTTAGCAAATTCTTGCTCAAGTGTCAGTACTATGTATGATCTGCCTTTATAAGAAGTTGTCTCGGCCCCTGACAACATTATTATTGGTATCGGTTATTCCTCTACTTCAGTCAGTCTTTGATAATTTTTTTTTTAATATAAATTCATTTGATTTTTTTTTTTAGCAAGGGTGAAAACTCAGGGTTCATATTTACTGCAGCAGATGTTGCAATTTTTCTTGACTATGTGCTGTGACTAATCTGAAACTTCATAGCTATGTTTCACATTTTTAAGGTTTGCCAGTACTTCATATTTGTACACTAGTTTATTGCTGAAAAAAGTGAATGAATGACAGAAAGATATGAAGAAATGGGCATTCAGCCAGTCCCAGTATATAAATAACTTTCTGAAGACACAGGGAGATTTACATGCATTTCTGGCCTCTGTGATAGGAAACAGACTAAGAAACATTTGCCAGAGTACATTTACCTTTTTTATTTCATTTACTTCACATACAGGACTGATCACCAACCTTTTGTAAATAGTCAGTGAAAAATACAAGGTCCATCTGTGAGTAGAGAATGGAGGCAACATGTATACTGGTGGAAGAGTAGCTGAAAGATTGTGTGTGCAGAAAAAAACAGAAAGGAAATAATACCATTCATTTTTACAGAACTTGAGTTTTACTGACATGTGGTAAATTCAGTGCAAATCAATTAGAACCTGTTGTATTTCTAGGATTGAACATTAAATCCATAACTGGGGGATATTTTTATTTAAAAAATGGTATGGAAGGGACATTCCAGTCATGTAGTGTTACTTGTGGGTTGAGCAGGAATAAACCACTAGCAGTACTGGTTAGTGCATTTTGTATTTAACACACATTAGAATGAGAAAACCAGCACTAGATTATATATGAGCATTAGCTGTATTAGTAGTAAGATGGATGTATCCTACAGTGCAGCATAATCAGATATTTGTTTAACATCTGATGTCCATTGTCCACTGGGGTGTAACCCTCCCTGTTGTTTTCACTGTTAAAACCCCTTCCAAATTCCCCTTCTTCTAAACTAGTGGCTTTCATCCTTTGAAGCAGTTTCTGCAGTGGTGATCAAGACAATGTTCCAGTTGACTCTTAGGTAAGATCTGGAGGCTTCCACAACATCCCTGGATTCTGTCATTTTCTTGCTTCCCCTGTGTATTGCAGTCTGATACCCCAACACCCCATACAGCTTACATGTATTCCCCAGCTCATGGTAGCTGCTGTTCCTTCTTCTCTGATGGGCAGTGCGAGAAAGGATGCTCTAAGGATGACAGTACCATGGTCTGCTGAGGGAGTTCCTTGAATGTGGTCCTCTGAATCTGTCACAGCTGTCATTGTTGGAAGATTTTGTTCACTTCTTTTATCATTTTCATTCCTACCTGCTTTTTTTTTTTGGAGGGGGGGTGGGTGGTGATGTATCCACAACCTTGGTGTATTCACAGGACAACTGAATCCTCACCCTGTATCATTCCAGTAATGTGTCCCTCAATAATCATTCCTCACTCCTATGTTCCCAGCATAGTTCCTGTTCCCAGCAAGCCTACTGGCCACCAATGGTAGCCTGGTGCAGACCTGGTAACATAGGCCTTTCCTCACACCATTTTGAGACCCACTGTCATCCAGGAGCCTGAGAAGTGAGGGGGGTGGTGTAGGGTCCACAAAGCAGGGGAAAGGGAAGCAGTAGCCATTCTAAGGGAAGGACGTTAGGACCAATATTAGAACCCAGAATGGTTTTGTATGTTTATAAATACAGTTTAGAAGGGCAATGAAGCTCCTGACCAAATTAAATCAGCAGGTTTTAATTCTTGGGAAAACTGTTCCTCACACCTTATAGAAACATTACAGAAGGACAACTGAAGAAATTGCCATGAGAACTCAAATGAAAGATTATACATTAAATTTGCATTAAGTTTGCATGCTATGCTATAGGTATCTGTTGAAAGGGCATACTTTCAATTTAACTCCAGAGAATAACCCAAACACTGAATTGAGAACAATATTTTTATTTCATGTCTTTTTGAAGGATTAACTATTGCTTTTCATACATATGCAAAGACCTGTAGGAGTAGAAATGCAAAGCACAGCATCCACGCCATTAACATGCTAATTCGTTTAGAGGGAATTGAAAAAGTAGTTTTAACTATTACGGTATTTGCATCTTCATGCTACTCTGTTACAGAACCTGTTAAGCAAGCAATGGCCCTGGCATAGTTAACAACCCTGGAGGGAGCACCAACCTCGCAGATCATGGGATATCCCACCAGGGCCAGCATAAAGGAGCATAGATCAAGAGTGGGATGACAGGTGCTGCAATCTTCTTTCTACTCGTGAAACACAGCATTTGATAAGTGATCAAAAGTTAGCTGGGCAGATTTAAACATTAAACAGAAGCTGGATGGAGGCATCTGAATGCCATGTTTTGTGTGTGCGCTCCTTTGGGAGAATGTCTGTTGTACTGGGCAGCTTGGGAGTGCTGTGCTGCACAACGAGGTGTTTGGCTTTGTGGCTAAATGCAGTCATGCTGGTTTGCTGAAGCAGCTCAGAGCTGGAGCATGTGCCTTGATTGCTGTAGCTCCTGCTACATTCCCATGGGTTGCTTAATGTGCCTGCCTACGTGGCCTGTAACTGTGCTTTGTCTTTGTGGTAGTCCGAGAGTTGGTATGGTTCCTACTCTGCTGTACTTTAACAAAAATTATCACAAAAGAAAGCATTGTTTGCTTTGAATTCTCTTCAATTCCACACAACTCAACTCAAAATTAGTACCTTTAATTATTTGGGAGAATGGATAATGTGATTAGAAAGCTGAGGAAAACTTTATGATTTGAGAATTAAATGTCACAAAGAACCATACGTATGTAGTTGATCTTTTAAACTTCAGCTATTCTGTGACTTCAAGTAGTTTCATTGTGTTTTCAGTCTTTATGCTTGTGTGCTCTTTCATCATCATTGCTCATGTCCCAGAAAACTGAGTCCAACATATTTTGAGAGAAATGATAGAAAAAAAACGGGTTAGCAAACCTGAAGAATTCTCATGCATGCCTTTGGAACTAACAAGTGCCTTTTCAATAAAGTAATTGCAAGATGTAAAGTAAAAAAAAGAGCTTCTATGTTTCCCATCATGAGCCTCAAGAGAAATGAACTCAGTAGAAAAATGTCATATTCCAGTAGCATGTCAAATATATCTCAAAGGGTACAGGAACACAAAAGAATCTGTAATAATATCTCTGTCTTGACCCAAAGAACTAACCTTAATACTTGTTACAAGGTAAGTGGAATTCTGACAGTGTCAAATAGTTTCAAAAACTGCTAGAAAAGATATTGATGCATAAATTGCATATTCTAATTTAAGACGCAGCGGAGGAAAAAAAATGTTAAGTGGGACAGAAACTGATACTGTGTTGCAATTTCTGGATAATTGCCTTTTCATGAAAACCTGACAAATTCATTGCATCGCTTACCCGGAAATAAAAGAATGTGAGCAGCAGTAAAAGCCAACATACAAGAAACCACACTACATCCAGATAAATTTCAAGAGCTTCAGAGCTTCCCAATCTTCAAAGGCTTTCTGGTATAAAAATTTCCAGAAGAAGAACATGTGTGGAATAGTAAGGCTCAGCGAAAACCAACTAAACGAAAAAGAAGGTGAGTTGTTATTACAACAATTCAATAGCATGATGCTAAAAACTTTGGCATGAGTTTACTATGAAACATGGTACAGGAAAATTTATTCTAACTGTTATATAAGAACACAGTGTATCACTAAGTTGTTCTTCGCAAAATTAGTTTTAAAAGAATGAGGGATATGATCATTGTGTAACAGTTAACAGATGTGTTGCAAAAGTACATACGCTGCCTTCTTTCATATTTTGGTCTGTTACTAAGGTAAAACATTCAGTACCTCTTTTTAAAGTTCTTTGCTTCATAGTTTGCAAGAAATGGAGGAATATTCTAAAAGAACTGCATTGATGACAAAACATTTTTATTCACTGTTATACAAATTAAATCCACAGTCGATTTCCAAAAGGAATTTATAAAATAATGAGGACTACTGCTTCCATATTCTTTAGGTTAAAAAAAACCCCACAAATATAAGTATATCAAACCAAGTTACTTTTAATGCATTCTATATGTGAAAAACTTTATTCTAGAACATTAAAATGAACTAAAAAAATATTAAGGCACATATATTCAAAGTCATTCAAAAGATTGTTTTCCTTCCTCACAGGTGACGGACAGGAATCTTAAAGAAAGAAATGCTGTGATCAGGATGCAGCTTTCTGAAGTGCTCAGAAATAGAGAGATACTTTTGGAACCCATGCAGGGCTGAAGACCTAGACTGAGGTTCCCGGATTCTAATATAACTCTGCCATAGCAAAGTGCTGGCTAAATAATTCCTAAGTAATCACACACAGTGTCCTGGCCAATACTGAAAGCTGTTGCTACTGCAGCTTCTGCTTCCTCTACCAGCAGTGGCCACATAGTGAGCAAGAGGCATATAACAACCACTGATCTGGATGATTTTACTTCAACTAAAGACTGAGGTAATGTGTTCTTACTTTTCTTAAATAAAAACGGGAGGGCCCTAAGTGGCATGAAGAATCTATAGGTAAATGGGAACAATATAAGGTAGGTGGTGGAAAGAGAATATAAGCAGTGTTAGTTGGGTAAAAATAGAACAGGAGACCATAACCTAGACGTAAAAATATTTATTCTGTTGCATTTGCTACTCTGTTTACCCATTGTCATAATAAAGGCAGCAAGACTAAAATACTAAGGAGAAACACCACTATTGAAGCAAATAATGGAGGACAACTGATATCTTTGAGAGAAACATTCAAAACCCAGAAATACCAATGTGTTAAAGAATCTAAAGGAATAACAAAAGATTTTTGATGCATTTCTGATCTTCTTTGCTTAATATTAAGACCTAATGAAAATAGAGAAGGGCATGAAGCAGCTAGCAGTGACCATTTTAAACACTGCTTGTTTAATCATACAAACTGTTGAATTACACAACTTCTACTGAAATAAATAGGAACTGTTGCTGTTGAGCTCTGTTACAAATTGGACCACCTGAGAAACTGCTGAAAAGGTGATCTATAACAAGTAATTTTTAAGCAGCTGTAAATTTGGATAATGCTTATGTTTAAGTGTGTGGCTTAGTATTATGCACGTTTTATCTGTTCAGGTCTACCTTTTTTATTTTTTTATTTTTTTTTTAATTCAAGTATACATTTAACATAGGTAATCTGAAACAATGCATTTGAACAAAGGGAATTTTTACTAAGCAGGTTCCTAGAAAGATAAACAACTTAATCACAATGGGGTTGGATCAAGGGTTGGACTTGATGATCTTGGAGGTCTCTTCCAACCCAGTTAATTCTATGATTCTATGATTTAGCTAGAAAAGAGTACTCACAAAACCATATTATTATATAAACTTCCTCTTCTAAACTGCTTTGTGATTGTCAGAAGCATGTTCCCTATGTTCCCTGTTCTGTGGGCTATAAAACAGTAATTCAAATTTTAAGGTATCTAGTACCAAATCAAACCCATCATGATCTAATGATTCAAAGCACTAAACCAGTATAAACTCAAGCTGCCAGTACAAATTTGCTCAAAGGGTTTGTTCATTAATTTTTTGGATGGGTAACTTCAAACTGTCTGACTGTCTCTGGTTCTGCTATTCTGAGCCTCACTGGACCCTTCATAGTTAGCCCAGAATTTTATTTTCAGGAGTTCCTTCTTATTGTCTTTCCTACTTTCTGTGCTCAGGTTTCTTGTTTGCTGATGTCCTCATGTGTGTTTCCCTAGCCCTCTTTCAGTTGGGTGTTAACACATCGTTCACGCAACTCTTTCTGTTGTTCTTTGCCTCAGTTATTCACTTATCCAATTTTTCCAAAACTTGTAGCCTCCTTCTCTTTTTGCCTTTGACCTCAGCATAAGCTGCACTGGCCACACCTTAACAACATACTCTGCCTCAATGGAGGTTGAGCCATCTGCCTCTATTGGGTCTTCCCTGAGACTTTCCTCTTCTTGGATTGCCACGAGAACCACACAACTCCATTCTGAGAAAGAAAATGCAAGTGCTCAACCTGACCTAGTCATCATCAATTCCAGTCAAAACTGGTGGTACAATGAAGCTGTGCAGAAAAGCTTATCCTTCCTATTTCCTCCCTGTAACTACTAATCATAAATCAAACCAGTTTATCAGAGATGATTGAATTTTAGCTCATTAGCTCATAAGAGCAAAGTACCATCTCTTTAGACACTTCCCAGAATAGTGGGCTTCTCTGTTGTCTACATCAGTCATCGCTTTTCCCCACAGATTCAACGTATCCATGCATGCTTTGTATAGCAACGACTCCTTCACCTTCCTGCCTCCCAGGAAGGAGTAGACATAAACTGCTATTAGGAAGCAGCCTTGATACTCACTCTGGATCCATCATGGATTTCTGTCTGGAAGGCTGTAGAAATACATTGATAATGGGGACCTTCAATGAGCAAGGAGAGTGTTGCTGGGTAAAAATTAATCACCATTCACATTTTCTTGCCCAAAGAGTCTTGGATGAACTGCTAGAGACAAAACTCCATGTCTTAGCCAAAAATATATTGCCCTTTGAAAAGAGAGAGCTCCTTTTCAGGAGTTTTCAGGGCTGGCATAGAGGGACAGAAAGGGTTATGTGGCTAACACACAGAAAAGCTACTCAAGTGAGGCAAGCCTAGCATGCTTTGCTGTGTTCAGCACCCTGAGCTCAAGGAAGTGTCTTTGTAAATGGCATGCCACATGCAAACCATTGGATGGTTTGCATTCTTCACACTAATTACCAATACCTTAATGCAGTTGGTGATTCCCAGCCTTCAGATGATCACAGCAATCTGCCTCTCAGCTCAGATAGCTGCTGATGGCCACTGCCATGTCATGTATGTTCAGCACAGATCTCAAAACACATCTCTTTCTCTATTATGTGTTTCTTTCTGTTGTCTTTGCCCCACCTCAGCACTTGCAGCTTTTCCCACTGCCACAAACTCTTTTAAAAACCTCAGATGTTAATAATGGATATTAATTTTATTCACATTGAGAATTCCTCCCAGCAGGGCCAGCTCAACCTCCTTTGCTTCATCTCCACATGCAACTTCTCTTGCCCTATGTGGTCACTGCACAAGGAAGCTTTCTCCTGGAAAAGGAACTTCAATACAAATGAGTTTAATTACTATGACCAGTCCCTGGCTTAGTAGCAACTCTGTTTATGCTGCTCAGAGAATGTGTGTCACAGTTTAAGACTGAGCTGACAATGAGGACACTGCGTGGACTTGGATACTAAAGCACTTCTAGTCACAGTTAAATATTTAATGTTAACAAGTGACACCACTTCCACATTCTGTGTGAGAGACAGTGCAGTTCAGGACAGAAGCCAAGCAAGTCAGCATGATGGTCTCTAACACAGCCCGTCTCTCTTGCAGGGGGGAGATGGTGTGGTCCTGGGGAAAGTCTGGTCAGTGCAGCGGTCCCAGCCACACAGTGGGCAGTCCAGGTGCTGGGCCGTGGGGTCCCTGGGCCCCAGGTCCCTGGGGCTTCTGCTGGACCTCTTCCCTAGCAACAACCTGTCAGTAGTACACTCACAGCCTGCCCTGCTTGAAAGTCTTCCACACCTCTGGCAATAGAACAGCAATTAACAGGTTAGTTATGGGGGAGTAATTGGAGAGTAAGCAGGGTTTAACTCCTTTAATCTTTCTGCCAAATTGTCACTAAGTGGCATGTTGTTCTTGGAGGACAAAGATGGAAATGACCTGGTGTTTTCCAAGAGACTGGTTGTAGATCAGTCTGGCCCCAGGAAAAGCTACTGACAGAGAACACTCCACGGATAAAGTAAGTCCTGGGCAAGGTTCAAAAGAGAATGTCAGGCAGGGCATTGACAGTTTGTATAGCCACAGAAAACCACTAGTGTGGGCTCTTGCTAACGCAACAAAGGTATTTGAAATACAGTTGTGTAAATATGCACGACCTAGCTAAATTTATATTGTTAGATGATCCAGACATGGGTAGACTTTTCTTAAATACCTTGGAATCATGGCCTGAAGCTCATTCACAAAGAAGGCGGTAAAAGTATGTTGATCACTGTCATATTGTACTACCGCACTCCTACTCAATAATTTGATCAGTTATTTCACAATTATGTTAATGAATTATGATGAATTTTAAAATGCAGTAGAATATGGAAATACCTCTATTGCAAATGTAAATATTTGGTATTAAAATATGCAGTGTTTGTTTATATCTTATTACAACTACATACAATGTGGAATGTATAATGTAATGGGCATCAGCTTAGTTCCATAAATATTTTAGAACAAAATTACACTTTTTCCTGTGTAGTTTGCAGAAAACTAAGAGCTGTGATTGGTCATTTAGGTAAGTGGTTGTATCCAAGTGCACCCTCAGAGTAGATGAATGTACACAGAAATACTTAAAGATCCTTCGTACAGCTGTCTCACTGCTAAAAAGATTGAACCCAAAGTAATGTTACAAAAAATATTTTGCTTACTAAAACCAGTAGTGAAACTGGTTTAAGTAGATGATTGTTTTGGAAATCTGTAGGGTACTTCTATTTATGTTACGGTCTCTAACTATGAGGACAAGTAAAGCTCCAATGAATTGAAGTAGGACTTTGTGTATATTATCTCAAGGGGATTATTAATTTAAAATGTCACATGATAAGTGTGAAGTATTTGAAATAAACTGGTAGTGCATGATAGGGTAGGTGGCATCCAGTAAAAAAATTCCACTCCTATCAAAATGTTATGATGCTTAAATTTGATTCATGCTCTAATTTAATTCTGTGTTTGTTTTAGCAGGGATCACTTAAAATGTGATGAACAGTCTCCTTTCACCACTCCACCTCTGCAACCGACAGAGGCAGCTGCTTGTAGTCTCATGAGAACTTTGTCCCACGATCCTACATGGGTAGGAATGCACCCACTCAGCATACACATATAAGTATTAGGATAAAAGCAACATCAACAATAAGCCAGTAACATGCCATGCAGCTAGCACAGTATATGATGAGAATTAAACAAAGACCAACTTGGACAAAGTAATTTCAAAGACTAAAGAAAATGCTTGGAGGAACATCAACATTTCCTCCTATATTTTCTCCAGCATGACACATAGACTGAACATGTCTGACCATGCACATTCAAAGATCAGTGCCAAGAAGAAACTCCTTCCCTCTGTCTTTCTCTAATATATATGGAATTGGCTGTCTTCAAGCTAGATCACTATCTGCTACTTGGCTCAGGATAGAGGGTTGCAAAAGGCACACTTCCCACACTAAGAACAGCCTATTTACTAAACAGCTGGAGCTAATGAGACCAGAGTACACTAATGTTTGTGACTTGCTCTATTTCTGCTGAATGCAGTAATGGTTCTCTGCCAATGCAGAAAGCTTTGAACAGATGCACTCATTCTGTTTTCTCTGGTCCTCACGATATTTGCTACAGCAGTCCTGGTTTGTTGTACATGATTCATTTTGACGGGTCCTACATATAAATTTGAGAGTTTGAAAAAAAACCCCACACCACAGTTCTAATCAGCAAGCCCGAAGTTCTGAGGCACTAGGAAGAGCCCTGCAAGTGTTACCTTCTTCTAGTTCTGCGAGAAACACTGTTTCTTATCTTGCCCAAAGTAGAAGAAAACACAGCCTGCAGCTCAGAGGTAAAAGCAGCCGCAATAAAACTGGGCTGTAACAGATAACTTACTGTCCCTTCTAGGCAGATGCCATTATTTTCCATAATCCCTGTGCAGCACTTATATATTAGTTTAATAAGTTCCTTAGAAACTGGCAGGGTAAAATTATGCTAAATAAGCAATATTTACAAGAAATTCTTCTGATCCTTCCCTTGAGGCATAATTGAACATTACAACTGACTCCTCAAAAGCAGCTGCTCCGTTTCCAATCCCTTTACTTCTAAGGAAAAGCACTTTGCAAAAGGAAAAATCTTTAAATTATTGCTCTTCCTTTGAAATTATTCTCTTTGGATATCAATTTGTCTGCTAACTCAGATGCAGTGCTCCTACTAATCCCTTCTTTTGAGACTTTGCATTTGGAATTATTCATAGAGTGGAACAGGCTAGACTAGGTAGGTCCTTTGCATTTCACACAGCAGAATGAAAATTACTAATTGAGAAGCTGCATGTGGTGAAACATTTTTCTGTGTCAAAAGGAAAAGCTTCTAAAAAAAAATCTATGATTATAATATTTATGGCCATATATATTTTTTGGTGGAAAGTATCTAAAACAGTACATATTTTTCGTGCTGATATCTAAAATGACATGAATTTCGGGCTTCATACACACACCGTTTAGGTCTAGGTAGTAGATGCTAAGTTTCAACACAGGGCAGGGTTTTTTTTTCCAAAACGGCAAATATTTTAGAAGAGGGTTGTGTGCTGTGTACAGAACAGGGTGTTGTGTTCTGTGACCCTATAAACGGACTTCACAGGATGATGCTCAAGTGTACGATAAAGTTCTGTGAGCTCTCCGAGTTAAAGAACTCCTCAGGCCGATCCCTACGGCCCAGAAGAGGGCAGTGGTTTGTAAACACACTCCTGTGGGGAGTATCGGGACTTCCATCCTGCTGGAATCGCCCTAGGGCGCACCGGTGGCAGGGATCAGTTACGGGGCTGGCAGAAAAGGGGCAGTGGACCACCGTACCCCCAAACAGCCTGTCCCACCTACCGCGTCGCCTCTTCTCCGCCCGCACATCGCAGCATCATCCACCTGACAGACCAGGACAACGGGACAGCCGTGCCCTGCCAATTCCAAAACCAATCTCCCCGCGGGGGCAGGGGGAGGCGAAGCCTCTCTCTCCTGGCGGTGCAGAGGGGAACGGTGGGCTCAGGGATCCCTCAGCTCACCCGGCAGGTGGGCAGAGGGGGACGGTAGGCTCAGAGATCCCTCAGCTCACCCGGCAGGCGGTCCCTCCTTTCTCCCCTCCCGCTCCCGCGGCCCCGCCTCTCTCCCGCGCCGCAGCGCCCCCCTGCGGGCGGCTACGGCCTTGCCGCCAGCCGCAGTGACGTCACCCACAGCCGCTCCTTCTGGCTGCTCCGATTGGCCGGCGCCCGCGCAGCCTTCCCGCCTCCAGCGCGCGATTGGCGGGCCGGCCCGTGATTGGCGGGCGCGGGGGGGAGCGGAGGCCGGGCCGGCTCCGAGCGGGGAAGGGGCAGCGGCGCGGGCGGGCGGGGGCTGCGCGGGTATTGATTGTCTGGGCGCGGGGGCTCGGCCGCGGCGGGGGAGCGGCACCGGGCACCGGCACGGAAAGAGGAGGGGAAGAAGGAGGGGGGCCGGGCCAGCTCCGGGTGTGCGTGTGTGTGTGTGTGTGTGTGTGTGAGGGGAGCGCGGCTCGGGGGCGGGGGGCCTGCGCGGGAACGCGCGCGCGCGGGGCGGGAAGGGAGGGAGCGAGGGAGGGAGGGGACAAGGGAGGAGGGAGGGAAGGGGAGATTTTTTTTTTTTTATTATTAATCTGTTTTCCGGCCCTTTGTAGCTGCCGGGGGGGACGGCCCGGGGGTGAGGAGGAGGAGGGAGGCAGCAGCGCTACGGCGGCGATAGCGGCGGCTGTTGTTGCCGCCACCGCCGTGAGGCGAAGGGACCGGCCCGTCCCTTTAAACTAAGGAGAGCTGCAGGCCCGGCTGGGCCCGCCCGCCCTCTCGCTGCCTCCCCGCCCGGCGGAAGGGGCGCTTTGTGCGGGCCCTCGGCCGCCCTTCCTCGGTGCCGCTGAGGGCGGGAGCGGCCCCAGCGCGGTGTCGGTGCCGGCCCTCCCGGCCGCCTCCGAGCGCCCTCGCCTCGGCCGAGGAGAGACGGGCAGAAAATGGCAAAGTCTGGAGGAGGAGGAGGAGGCGGCGGCGGCGGTGGCGGCAGCGGGGGACTGACTTGGGTGGTGAGTTGCGGGGCTGCATTTTGTCGTTCGTGCGGTTTTCTGCTCGTGTTTTATTGTTATTGCTATTTCGTTTTGCGTCCCTTGCGTACGTGGAAAGAGCGCGGGTTGGCTTTGAAAGGAGGGAAGAAGCCGATGGCTATCGTGGAAAAGGAAGCGCTGTAGAGCTGCTCGGTGGAGGGGTCCGGGGTAGGAGAAGAGAGCCTGGGCTTGGAATTGGTGTTACAAGAGGGGCTTGCAGCCTTGGGGGGTCCTCGGAGTGGTAGGGGCCGTAAGGGAAAAGGTCAGTCTGTAAGCAAAGAGGTGGGAAGGAGCTTCCTGCCTTAGGGGCAGCGGGTGGGTCAACAGAACTGTCTTGAGGTCGCTGTCCTGTAGAGCAAGATGGGGGCTGTCTGTCGTGCCGCCGAAGTCTCACTTACTGCCTCTTGTTCCTATAGCAAAGCCTTCGCGGGCTACCAGAGGGGCTCTGTGTTGATCCCATCTTCTTTTGCAACTGTCTGAAAAGAAAATATCTGAAGTTCCCAAGTTTCAGAGACATTTAGGGAGCGGGAGCTGTGTGCTTGCTCTTGTGTCTTGGAATTGAACTTCATGATCTTCTAAAAGTTGTAAATTTGTAATAGGCCCAAGAGGGGGTACTTCATTGCTTTTCATGCATTGGTCGGAGGTAAAAAGTTTAGAGAGGGTGCTGGTGATAACTGACTCTAGAACTACTGAATCATTTTGAGCCGGCTTGAAGTCCTTTGAGAGCACAAGCCCTGGCCCTCAGTGCAGAGAAATGCTCCTCTCATCTGTAGTAACAGTGGATGCTCTCAAGGTTCTGCCGAGACCTGAGAGGAAGGAGGAGCAAAGGTGACCTGAAGGGGTCTGGTTCAGCTAATCAGTAACTTACCTACCTTTCTCTTGCTCAGCTTTGAGGATGAATTCTTCAATGTTTAAGCAGAAGACAATGAATCTTGATTTGTAGATGGTGAGATAACTGCATCTTTAAGCACATACATGTGCCTTACAGAGGTAGGAGCTTTTAAGAAGTTTTGTTTGAGAGAGTAACAGCAAACTTGTTCTTGTCTCTCTACGTCTTGGAGCTGTTGGAAAAGAATGTAATGAGGTGAACAAATCTTATGTATTCTGATGGTGGACTATTTCCATGGCTCTAATTATTGCATTTTATGTTGGTAATTCTCTTTTTCATTTTAAGAAGCTGGCAGCATGGAAAGGTATATAAAAATTATGAGCAAGTTTCTAGGTGTGCCACTTGAAATTAGACAGTTTAGATGTGGGAACAGCCCTAAGTAGAGAAGCTAAAATGATTCTCCTTTCCTTCCTCCAATACTCTGTGATCTTGATCAACTGTGGTCTTTGGGTAGCTCTTCAGAATTAAGGTTTTTACCATCTAGGTTGGACCAAGTAATTGAAAGTTTTACAGCTCATATAGAAAACTGTAGAATGAAGTGTGAAAATTACTGACTAGGCATTTTAATGAAACGTGTTCTTAAATGGAATGGGGTTGAAATTATGGTGAGTCAACAGTTTCCTACAAGTGGAAACAATCAAACTTTTCATTCTCTGAAAACAGTAAAAGTTTAAGTGTTTTTTGTCAACTAGAGTAGTTGTAGGGAAATAATCAGATTTTAGTTAAAACTCTGTTCATTTATTTTTTCAGCAAATAGTAGGAGATTGTTTCTTTCTCACTCTCACATGCATTTTAAATGGTGAATGTAGGACTTCTG